CACTAGTTTTTGTATGTTTTTATGTCATTCGTAATAATTCATTCATATTGGTAGAATCAATTTTATTATATCCAAAGGAGTCCAGATAAATTATAGTAAAATTTAGCGATACAGTGTGCCTTGCAATGGGGAAATAATAGAATTAAATAAATTTGGCGTTGAATGTAGACATTTGCCTAAATATTGGAAAATTTTGCAAACAAAAATGTTAAATGAAATATAAATTCTGGCTTTTTACAATGAATATTAAATAAATAATAGCGATTTTTTTTATTTTAAATATTCTAGGTTGTTGTTTCCAACCGGCTCCTATGGACGGAAACCTAATAAAGGCTGAGATTAAAGATAATGTTTTAAAATTTGTTCGTTTCTTTCAAGGCCAAATAAGAACAAGATAAGAACTATATGGTTTTCTCAAGCAATCAGGCAAACCTCATAAACACAAAGTATAAGGAACATAGACAGTGAAAGGTGGAGTCATTCAAAAGGTTCCCAAGAGAAGACAGTTCTTATCTATCTAGAGTGTATCTTGATCAAATAAACAAAAATCGTTCAAACCCAGCTTTAATAATATTGAGTTCAATTCATTTCGAAAATAATGTTATTCATTTTTGACAAAGTTGATCGGCGATTCAAGACGTTTAAAAAATTTTTCTCTTGATTTTCCAGAATACCTGAAATCACTACAGATTTCCTAAGATTATTGGGGTCGTCATTAAGACCGGGAAAATATTTTCGAGGACATATAGACCGAAATGTCTGATCCAAGTTGTGGTTAGTAATATTTTATAATGTATATTTCAATTAATTATAATTTTTAAAAAATACAAATGCATTCCAACATTAGCACACACGGAGCGAGTAAGTGAAGCGCGAGAGAGAAAAATATATTTTGTAGGTGAGTATAATGTAGTTTTTTTAGTTTTTTATATTTCTTTTGAAAAGGAATTAAAAATTTCCTTTTTTTTATAAAGTATTGGGAATACGGATTGTGAGTAATCATCATTTTCTGCTTAAAATATTAGATTTTTGATACATTGCATTATTTATGAGTTTATTTAGAATTTACGGCAATAAAATAATAAAGAAAGCACAACTGAACTTTAGCGACATATCAGATAAAAAAATATTTTTCGAACAACACAATGGTTCCAAGAGCAATTCGCGAAAGTTTCTCCACAAATTAGCCCGAAGCCGTTCCTGTGTATCGCGCATATTGTGGCCAGCGTTCACAATATCACTTCGACAATTTATGGCACGGTAATTAATATCAAAACGGACATTAGACACTTATTTTCGACTCGACGGTAATGACAATTTTCTCCATTGCTTATTGGATTTGTTCAAAGCGTCATCGGTGCGACTTTTTAACGCGCCCGTACTTTAAACAGTCTCCATTTTGTCGCTATTATTATGCGGTGCGCAAGTCGCTATTTTCGTTCAATAATTTCGACCCCCGTCGGCCATCTCGACGGCGTGAATTCGCGTTGTTTCAAATTAGACGGTAACGTGCGGCTGCGTACCGCCTCTATTGGTTATTATGACCGTGTCCCGATGGAAACAGCTTTTAGACACCTTTATATTATTTAGTTTGTCGAGAATGCAGCAATAAGGTTCGACCAGAAATATAGTGCTTTTATAATCGACCCCGTGATTAACTTTGCTTGTTTATTACTCCAATACCTAAGGTCCTTATAGAACGCCCTGCCGAGCAGACCCTAACCTGTAACCATTCCAGGACCGTCCTAGGAATTTATCTACCTACACTAACAAGCGGGAAATAAGTATGATTTCAATCTTTTTCGCCGAGCCATTCCTGAAACATGTGCATAAAAAAATTAGTACAAAGTAACAATTTATTGCGTTCTATTTCCTTACATTTCTAAAATATTAAATATAATAGTAATAAAGTATCAGTCACTTAAAAAATCACCACTATCGCTACTGTAGTTCAATGATCAACATCAATAAACACAGCCTCGCAGGGCCAAAGCTCGAGAATCAGGTACATAAATACGTACTTACTAGAAGGATCATAGTAATATATACGAACATATTGCGATTTAGATTAAACTCTTCAGAACGATACGTTCGAAAATACCCCCCAGTATCAATACTGACGTTGAAATGACGTTTGAAATAAAAATTTGAATTTTCTACAAATATTCGTTACGGTCCATCTCAGGCAAGACCTACTTTATGCAGAATAAACATCTGTTGGGATGGCTTTTATCACGGTCCTGCGAGGGTCTGGGGTTAAGGTACCGTAAAATACTTAAAACGTCAAAGCAATAAGTGCATTATATTTTTGGTCGTATTATACCTTCAGAAAGTTAAAGTAATCGATACCATTTCTGATTCCTTTGAAATCTCAGCGGGTACACCTTAGGGAAATATCTTCGCGTACGGTAGTGAGAACATATGCTGAAAGTCTGAAAGTCATTGTTGAAAATTTTTAAAGAAAGAACAGGTAAAAACTAGCTAGCTTTCACTTAGAACTGAGGCTAATGTCTTTTGAATTGTTTGTTTCACTATTTTAAATTCGTCATAGGATAATTGACAATAATAATAATAATAATAAAGCATATTATTCCAAACTACAAATTATGCACGCGATAGCAAGTACAAAGGAGAAAAGAAAGAAAGTGCTGAGAAATAGAGAGAAGAAAAAAATGCTTTGTCACGAACATGAGTGAACGGCCATCTATACAGTGTCTCAATGCGAAAAACTTAAGGGGGTGATTCCTTGTTTATAGTATAGGGTACACCATCTATCAGGTGACCAATTGCGAACGTCTAATGAAGCATTTTCCTTTTTATACCATTGTTCTCGGAGCCCTATAAAATAAACACGGACAAATGAGAACAAAAAATAATAACACGCCACTGCTGGGATACGAAAACTGGTTGCCTAGGCAACTGCATCGGCCGATGGCAGCCGAATAACAGCAATCCCATCTGCTGCCAAGCTGTCCCATTCCGCAATTAAGCAAAAAATAATGTTTTTTTTGTCTTAAAAACGAAAATAGTTAGAACAATAAAATATTGCCAAAATGTTACTATTATAAAAACACACTTCTTGCATATTTTTTATTTTTGGACAAACCTTATCATTTTTCTTAACTAAGTTTAAGGAAAATACAATGTAATGACATTTTTTAATACTGTTTTATTTAGAAACTTTGGTCTAACGTAATTTTTTCATAATACTTACCGTTTACAAATAAAAAATATCTAAAGCAATGCATAAAAAAATCTAGTGGGTTGCTGGCACTTCGTAGCGCGCCCTGGCAGTCGGTGAATAGTTAACTCTGGTACCATGGTTAACTATGGTAGTGCTGGAAGAGCGGCATACCCTTGAGGAAAGGCAGTATTCTCGGGACTAGTTGGTGGGTCGCAGTTTGGCTCCCGTAAAGTGCAACATTTTTGAAGTTCTATGTGCACTGCGAATTTGAGTTTAATGAAATAAACGTTTTTATTTACTCCAACATAACTATTTATTAATCATTTAATTGTCCAATAATAAGAGTTTTAATTCAATAATGCTGAACTACACTACTGCAGATTTATTATATGAGATATGAGGTGATGATTTTTTTACAATGGTTTCGAAGAATGATCCTTCTATTTTGTTAAAAAAATCTATTTTCTGGCTAAGCTAGTCTTTCAAGCAATGTAATAGAAATAAATCACAACAGGCATGTATGGACTGAAGAAAAATTTCTGTCTGTCTCTCATCACATCTTTGGTCAGACTGTTCATCAATATTTGTAAATGTTCTTCCGGTTCAGCTATAATGACAGCGTCGTCCGTGGACCTAATGGTATTCACGATTATGCTGTTAACCTTTGTACCTTCTAGTCGGTCTTCAGGGATGATCTAATGATTTATTCTACGTATACGTTAAATAACAAAGAAGATAAAAAGCAGCCTTAGCGAACTCCTCTCTTTATATTAATATACTTTGTGTTACTCTTTTCCCGTCGAATACAACTTTGATGGTTCCAGAAAATATTCTAGATGATTATAAGGATAGCTTCCTTAGTACTACTCCCTCTTCTGAAGCTGTACTTAGACCTGGTGACAGATTGCTAGATTGCTTTCTTCCAGTGGTTTTTCAGATTTAGCTTGGTTTTTAGCTAGGAGAGAGAGAGAGAGAGAGAGTCAGAGACTTACGTTTTCGCCAAAATTGTATCATTAGCTATAAGAACATAACTTCGAGTCAATCAAATTAAGAAAAATAATTAAAGCAGATAGAATAATTCCGGATGTTTCAATAATTGCTCGTCCGGATTTATAAAAATATTTGCGCCATTAAGAAATGAAACGAATCTTACCCAAGAGTTTCTATTTGGGAACACCGTTACTTTTAATGAAAATCCATTAAACTGCGTTTTACGAGAAAAATAATTAACACCGTTTAAAATAATATAGCTGCGAAGCTCCGCACGCACCTATAGACCATTACTTCAACACACAATAGGTAAAGGAAATAGAGGAATAGCATATTCGCGGAAACAAAATGTCTTAAAATATTCACGAGGAGATATTTTGTGGTGTGCGCAAATTACAGATTTCGTATGGGTGGGTCAAATTCCAACTTCGCGTGGATTTATATTATGCATGACTCTTTTTAGACGATGTCGGTTATTAGGAGCGTTTGGTTTTGGTACGCGTCACCCGTGAAATAAATATTCTTGTGGGGACAGTAGCGCAACAATACGCATTGATATCCCAAAACGAAGACTGGCTCTTTTTAACTTGTTAACGAAACAGCGGTAATAGTGTGACTTTGAATTTGCCTAAAAAGTTGTATTAAACCGACCCAAAGCTGTCAATATCGTTATCATAGAGCGTGAAAGGCAAAAGTTGTCTTCGCCGTTTATGATCTACTGAACAATTTATGTTTTCCTGGTATGACGCGGTAATAGGTGCTATGTGTCCATGTCCGGTTTAAATACGCGTACATTTTTGAAAAACTTCATTGTTCAAGATGAACACGAAAAAAGGACTCTTCCATTTTGCTATACTAGCACTGAAGCTGACAGGCATGTGGCGTATAGACCCGTCACATCTTCCAGTCAGTATTAGATTCATTTACGTTATATATTCCAGAATATTGCAAATGATTTGCTTATCGTTGACAGTTCCGATGGCCATTCACATACCGAGTATGTTGCAAACCAACACCACAGCAGGTAAGGACTTAACGGTTAAGTTTAATCCTTTGCATTCGTATGTCGCCGTATAGGCGGCACACCATGTCTTATCATTACAGCAGGTTGGCCGGTCTGTCATCCCCTAAGCTCATTTCTAATATTTCTAAATTGATTTCTTGAACCTTCGTAGAGGACAGGTTTACGTAAAAATAAAAGATAGCATGATATTTATTTTTTACATGCCATCGTATATCTGTTGATGTATATATTTCAACCACTTCAGTTCACATTTGCACCATTTTTGCATTTTGAATATTACTCAGTTTTATAACGAACACGACTGGGTAAAGTTCGTTACATTTTTTCGGTGCATATTTCGAAAAAAAAAATTTCAGATGCCTAAGAAATTTTTCCAAGATGAAATTGAAAATGAATTGCAATGTAGTGAAGATGGAAACGATAAATTTTATAGTGATAATATTAATGACTTAGTAGTGGTACTGATATCATAGTTACTAAAAGACAGACAACCATAGCTTTACCATTAAGTTCAAGCAGCAGTGAAGAAAACGAGAATATAACACCACAACCTAGTAATTTTGATCCATGGCAGGACGTCACATGTGCCAATCAGACAGACAGAATTTTATTTACTTCTGGGGATAAAATGGTAGGACCACTTATTTTTTTCAAGCTTTTTTTTTACCGCTGAGCTAATAATAAAAATAGTGGAACAAACAAATAACAACGCTAGACATAAACTAGTGGAAGAGTTTAACGCTTTTATTCGGGTTGTCCTAGATATGGGTACGATAATCTTATCTAATTTCCAAGAGTTTTCGTCACAAGATTCTAAAGCCAAGATACCTTTTGTTAGTAGCATATTTAGAGGAGAACGATTTTTAAAATTTTTTTGGATGCCCCACTTGCATGAAAACCATCTCTCTTAGGGCTCGAACTTAGAAAGTTAGTCACTATTTGAACAAGCAATTTAAAGAACATTTTGTTTCATCAACAGAGATATAGTTAGATGAATCTGTCGTTGGATTTAAGGGTACAATTAGTTTTTTAACTTACAATCATAACAAGCCTACGAAACGGGGAATACGAATTTATGTAGGTAATGGCGGATGCTAATACCGGATATGTTTATTCAATTTTGCCGTACTAAGGAAGCTTGACATCGGAAGATGTACCTGTAAGCACAAGGATAGTAGTGTCAAAAATTATTAGACAAGATGAAGAGGATATCATTTTTGCACCGATAGATATTATACGAGCTTGCTACTTGCAGAAGAATTGTTAGAACTAAATGTTCATTTGGCAGGTACCGCAAATTTATACCTGATTCAATAAAAAAACCAACATTTGCGGAAGATAACACATTTGCATATATACGAGTGCAAAGGGTAAAATCGTTGCTTATTTCGTCTGGCGGTTATCTGTTAGCACCAGTTCCCATGATGTGTTTTAATTTTTCCAGCAATAGACATTACATCGAAGTTGCTCTATTGCGTGCTTTTGTTCGCCAAAGTAGTGTCATATCCGTACATTTCGGAAGAGTTACTTCCTCAAGCTTTATGTTTCGAGCGCACTCTGTATTCGGAAGGTGACAGCGTAGCACTAGCAATCTACGCGAAACACGTGAGGTATTGTCACGGATTGAGCAATTTCTTCTACACGTCTACCATTTTTACTGGAACAGCGTTCTGTGGATTCGGTAAGTACAATCGTCAAGAGAATACGGTATATACAATAGTTACGACAGGCCTAACCGATACTAAAGGTGAATAAATATTTTATGTTTTCAAGCAATCTCTTTAACAAATATAATATCAAAACTAACATATAGTTGGACGTTATCGTGGATTTGTAAGCTATTTAAAACAAAATGTGTCAAGAGTGTTAGCAAGCATTGCGTCATCCATTACAGCATTTAGTTGCAAAAAATTTGAGTGTTAGATTGTATAAATCTTTTCAATTAGTCATTGATGCACTAAACCGAATCCGAAGCAGCGCACTGAAGTACGCTGGCAGTCGAAAGACATGTTTGACAAGATTTTTTCCACTTTTTGAGACCATTTCAGAATTTCTGGGTACTAAAAATAAAAATTTAAATGGCAATTTAATGAAACGGAAAACTCACTGGAAAATTATGAAAAAGCAGATGAATAATACAGAAGACCGAGTCTACAAAGCAATCAACTAGCTTACATACAAATCTTATATATATATATATATATATATATATATATATATATATATATATATATATATATATATATATATATTTATAGAATACCAAGTTGGAATCATAAAATAAGTAATGTCGTGCTAGTATACTCTGACAATTTTTTTTGAAAGTGTTTAGCATATTGAAGTTTCTACAGCAATAGAAGGAAATGCAAAACAATATAGTTATATAGAAGAAAAATTGCCTTAATAGTAGTTCTTAGTAAAAACTCCAAATTCTGCATTGGTTTCTGTTTAATTGTATAAACGTACTTCTCAAAAACTAATTACACCAGGGTCATTTACTGATTCTTGTAATTGTAATTGTTTGAGTCTTCTCCGGGTTTAAGTTAGGTTGATACAATTTACAAAAATGAAAAAAAATATTCATATCTTAATATATCCCATGAAAATATGATAGGAGCAAAGCTTTGCTTCTTTCCCCCGATATTATTTTTGATATTCTGAAAGAATTTGTCTACTTTCCCTAATTAGTACTACTTTGGTACGGCCCATAGTTCTGTGGTAGATGCACGTATCAATATAAAGTCATTAGTATTTTGTACCCTCTGAATATAGAGCTTGTAAATATTGCTTTTCAAATCTGAAATATGCAAGTTCTTGTAATAATAAATGCGTGTGAGAAGGGTGATTATTCGATCTCAGAAATGTTTGGATAAATGGACTATTTTTGGAATTTTACAATAATAAATTTAGGATTTAGGAAATCTTCAGTATTGCTTAAATAACTTAATGTGTTTAAAAAATTGAATTCCGTTGATAATTTAAAACAGTTTTTTTCTATAAAAAAAAACAAAGCATGATAACCCCCATCCTATAATTACATGTAAGTTGGTACAGGGTACAATTATATTGGTGTGATTTATTTTTTCCTTTCCTAGAACAGTGGTCGCACTAAATAAAATTTAGTGGGCTTGTTCTAATCATTCAGCTACATGGTTTCGTCTGGTTAACGAAATCGAACTACAGAAGATGACTCAAATTTAATAGAGCTATTAGTATAGCCAAAAGCAACCCAAGGAAGGAAGTACTCATAATTGGGTAACCACTAAAAAAGTGCACCAGCGCTGGGGTCCTTAAGACGAACTTCTTTCACCTGTTTTTATACCATACATATACTATAGAATTCAAAGAGAACAATTGCGTACATCAACACAATTTTTAACTTTACAGGAATCATTGAAAAACGAGTGAAGCTCAGTATACATTTCTAAGGTTTTAACGGCAAAACTGAAATTACAAATGACCCTCCATTATCATGTAATGTCATATGAAATGGCAAACGCAGACTTTCCTTCACTATTAATGAATCTCATATTCAATTCATCAAAAATACAGAGTAGGTTTACTTACTGCAGATACATCCAAAGTGTATAAGTGTAACTTGGTCTTTATACAGGGTTGTTCACGGTGAGCGTCCTATCAGACGTTTATGGAGAATGGCTTACTATAAAAACCTGAAATATTGGTTACTCGTAACGTATGTCAACTTTCGTTTTTTTCATAGAACACCCTGTATATTGTTACATTTTTAGATTCTGCGAAAAAGTCTGAAAGTTTTTTATGTAACATGTACCATACTTATCTTGGACATTTTCGGAGAGAAAATTACTTCTTAAGAAATTGGGCAACAAACAACCCGATATAAAATAATATTTTTTTCGCAGCCCGTACAACTAAACACTTGAATTTTTGGTTGCAACAAACACGAAATGATATATTTTCACATGACAATTGTTTTGACAACACCGTGTTTTTATTATTTTGATAAAGACACGGTGTTGTCGAAACAATTGTCATGTGAAAATATATAATTTCGTGAAAATCTGAACTTTTAGTTCTTATTTAAAAGCCTCCTCAGTTCAATGCATGAGAAAATATTTAAAAGACTTGAAGAAAATTTCGAAACCTACTACGAAGGGAACTTCTAAAACCTGTTACAAACTCAGAAGAAAATGAAACCAACGTTTTAGCATATTTTCACGCATGCGTCTATTCCGAGCGTTAAAGATCATTTAGGCATATCTTATTCATCCATTTAACCAATACTGACAAAACATAATATGCACAATTATAAAATTAGAATACAAAAGATCGAGATTTTTTGAAAATAATTATTTGGACCGATGATTCAAAATTTTTACGGGAGGGCATTTTTAACAGAAAGAATAATCATTTTTGATCATCAGAAAATCCAAAATTTTCAACGTGTTTTGTTTGATGATGGATAATAAAACAGATTTTTGTATCTACAACGAGAATTTGAACGAGAAAATATATTTTACGAAGAATATTTAAATATTTTTTAGACAATTTGTCATTAGCGTTACATTGCAGATGTACCAACTCAATGAAGCTCCGACTCATTGCACAAATAGAGTAAGAACTTCCAATCATGTTTGACCACTGCGTTCGCCAGATATTACACCGGTTGATGCCTACCTTATTGGTATTGGTATTGGTATTAAAGGACGGCGCCCTCGCGGGCGTCCAAGCACTTAGGCCACCAGATGGGCCCGTTGTGCCCCCAGGCCGTTCTAGATTGGGTCCAGAATGCCGCTCCTCCTATAGAAGGTCAGCAACTCCTTTAGCCCAATACCGTGCACTGAGTGCGGATCGATCAGGGCCGTTCCGAAGACTCCCAATCTTGCCCATGTCAAGGCAAGGCACTCGGTGAACAGATGATGCGGTGTCTCCTCCCGTTCCATGCAACACCTACACTCCGGGTCGTCTCCAATGCCTAGCAAGCAAAGATGCCTCCTAAGTCTGCAATGTCCTGTGTAGGCCCCTGGTAGTGCTCTACACTCCCTTCTGGTCAGTCTAAGCAGCTCCCTGGTCCGAGGGAGGGTGGGCCCATCCATCATAAGCCTCGCCTGCCTCATTCCCGGAGCAACTCTCCAGCCCCCCGCGGCCCGGTCTCTCGCCCAGGCTTCGAGAGCTCCCCGCCTCACACACGGGGCGGTCCCCAAGCGGGGCTCTGGCCCTATATGCCTATGCGAGGAGCCCTCTCTGGCTAAGGCGTCCGCTGCCTCATTGCCCCGGATACCGGTGTGACCCGGGTCCAGACGTGACCTTCCTCTCCTCAGCCACCCTCCTCAGTACGCATTTGCATTCCTTTATCAACAAGGAGCCCGTACACACTGACTTCAGCGCCATAAGTGCAGCCCTACAATCCGAGCAGAAGAAGACTCTCCTGCTTCCGTGGTTGAGCCGAAGCATCTCTCTGGCCGCCATCAATAAAGCGAAAATTTGCGCCTGAAACATAGTGCAGTACTGACCCAGAGGGACCGTTGTCTCGCAGTACGCTCCAGCTCCGGCCAGATCTCCCACTCTGCCCTCTCTCCACTCTTCCCTTGATGGGAAGAGAAAGGTCAATTTGTCAAAGAAGGTCATCTCGGGGATCATGACGTCAGTCGGCATGGCCATGACCCCGCGACAGCACTCTAAAATGTCGTACGGACCCCGATTGAAGGTTCCCTCCCTCCAGATCCGCAACTCGCCAGTCTCACAGCTGTCCTGGCCGCCTCCATCTGCACCCGATCCGCCAGAGAGGGCAACCCCACCAGAGCCTCTTGGGCCCTCGTGGGCGCCGTTCTCATGGCGCCCGTTATGCAGAAGCAAACCAATCTCTACAGTTTGTCAAGAACTAGCCTTGCTCCCTCTCTTTTGGTCCCTGACCACCATGCCACTGTCCCATGCGTGAGCATAGGCACCACCATGGTACCGTAGATCCACTGCATGATCTTCGGCCCCAGGCCCCAAGTGCCCCCTACCCCTCTCCGGGACGCCCACACAGCTCCAAAGGCCGACCTGGTCCTTGATCTTATATGTTCCTGGAAGGTGAACTTAGAATCCAACGATACCCCCAAGAACTTCTACATTTCCGCTTGCAGAAAGAGGCACCCCATCCATCGAAATGTTGCCTACCTTTGGGCGCTATTAAAGAAAGAGTGTATACAACTCCAGTTTGGAATAATAGAAGATTTAGAACGATATGCCAGACAGGCTTTAACAACTGGATATGGATGGATGTCTTAGAGCAAATGGAGGTCATTTCAAGCATAATATCTAGTTGTATGTAATTAAAAACCATTTGAAACCATTTATTAACTTCAATATTAGGTTTGTGAATAACAGTTTCTATAAATATTAAATTTTTGTTGGCATATGTATTTCCTTCAGTTTCACTGCAACAATTACGCCTTTCAACATGCTATTAACAGAATATTAAGCTTATTTATTATTATTATTATTATTACTTATTATTTAACTCTAAAACCATTGAAAATAAATATACCATTGTTTGGTACCTTTAGATGAAAAATTAATTACTCATTTACATGCCAATTATTTTTCCAATTGGGCCTTACCTCTGCTCTATATTATGATAATGCAATTTAATAGGGAACCGCAACCAAAGTTCCAGACTGTTTCGTTAAATCAAAAAATGTAATAATATGCCGGGTGTTCGATTTAAAAAGCGGAAGTTAATATATGTTACAAGCATATCTGGCAACACTGCATGACCAAAAATATTTTACATAGGTAGCTCATATTCGCTTACATAAGTAACCAATATTTCAGGTTTTTACCATAAGTCACTCTCCATAAACGTCTAATAAGATATTCACCATGAATAACCCTGTATAACGTTCAGAATAGTTTCAGTGATTCATCTGTCTGAAACCTTATGTCATGAAATAAAAATAAGCACAGTGGAAGCTTCAAGTTTTTTTTTAATTTTAACACTGCTATGGTTTTCACATGCAAAGAAAATACTTTTAAACTAATATGTGGTCTTGTCGTTTTGATTTATGACTTTACATTTTAGGAATTTTCAACAGTTATCAGTTCCACAGATTGCACGAAAGTGCGAACGTCACTTTAAAGAAACCGCTGCCGTTGATGCAATGGTACCCGTTCGACGAAAACAGGTACCACGTTTGGGCGCTGGCGCAGCAAGTCGTCTCTATTACCGTCTGCGCAATGTACGTCATATCCGTTCAAATATTTAGCAACTGCACGATGTTATTCTTGAGGAGCCAACTGAAAGTATTGCAGACTTATTTTAGGCGTTTCGACGAACACTCCTGTGAAACTGGCCCTTTAGCTGAAGGGCTGAAGTCGTTGGGCATCAAACATCAAAATCTCATTAGGTTTGTAATAGGGTTCACGCGGCAGTAATTTTTCACGATCTGAGAAAGCGATTTGACTACCTAAACCCAAATAATATTCGATAAGATCCAAAAGCCGTGAATTACGATAAACTTGAATATAATATAATATAATATAATATAATGTAATATAATATAATTTAATATAAAGTATAATTTAGCTGTCGTCACTATCCTCCACAGGAATAGTAAGGTTTTTGACAGGTTCTGAACTATCTAACATCTAATCGGTTGTTCATGAAACGAACTTGTTGACGTTTCATCAATTATTCTGTTAGTTTCTTGACAACTTCACTGGAACAGTAATAGTTCAGTTCATTAATAACTGACACAGGACAATTCCAGAAGGTTTAAAAAGTATTTATATATATGTAGATATGCCTAAACGAGTGCTCATTATTTTGTGCTTAAAGTCAGTTTATTGTGAGCACTTTATTTTATGCCATTTCAACTCGATCGCATTAAACACAGAATCATATGGAGGAAGATGAGCCGAATCACCTGGTGACCCGCTTACATGTAATTTGACCACAAATATACTCCTTTGATAAATTATAACTTTTTATAAGTTGTAATAAGACTTCATACTTCTAACACAGTTGTGAAAATAGAAGTCTCGTTCGAACAAACAATCTTATAATTCACATTTATTAGGGGAAACTGGCATCTTAATTCACTTGGAGGCTATAATCACAATCACAATCACAACGGAGATTCTGGTATTCACCATTCTTCTAATACTGCATGTGAAATAGGTATTCCTTACCTCTATTAGACGTTGTTTTCAGGTAACATTTACTGGAATTATCAACCTTACTATGTTTTCAAGATATTCTGAAACTTTGCAAACTCAGGGATTCCATTATAACTGGCAATTAATTTGCCAACAATTAATGTCACTATCAGTCCTTGTGAAAGTCACGATCACGATGGCACTTTTTGTTCTGAATACATTTCGGTACACCATTGTCTATTGGGATTTCTAGGCGCTATCGGATTATTCATAATTTTTGCTTCAACGGGCAAAAAATTGAACTGAGGTGGCTTTTACTTGATGAAAATCCATTTATCAAAATAAATAAGAACTAAAAGTTCAGATTTTCACGAAATTATATATTATGACATGACAATTGTTTCGACAACACCGTGTCTTTATTAAATGTGATTTGTCGTTGATAAAGGCACGGTGTTGTCGAAACAATTGTCATGTCATAATATATAATTTCGTGAAAATCTGAACTTTTAGTTCTTATTTATTTTGGGAAAAAAATTGCTCATTTGATCTTCATTTTAAACATCACTTGTTAGAATTAATACCCTGAAGAAGCAACGTAAGGGTAGGACAGTTACTAACTAAAGAACTAAACATGAAAACAGGAATTAGACTCCATCAGCCCATTCGTTTAAAATGGATAAATATAGAATGGGAGGAACCCATTTTCTTATAGTGATATGATAGTGATGATAGTCAAGAACAACACTTTTTAAATGCATGGCAACATCTAAAGACGAAAAGATGTAGATTAGAAATTGATACGAAAATCGTTGAACAGGTCAATCAATTCTCTCGTGTTTATGAACGGAGAACCAAATATCTAGTCTCCCAGAGCCAGCAAGCATATATAAAACCGCAGTAAGGTCTACATCAAAATTCTGCAGCAGAGGCAAGACCATGTAAATGATGCGCCCAGTGGAAATAAAGACAGTAAGTTCCATATTACGAAAATCACCATACGATAGGGTGAGAAAGGAAGACCAAGACGTATCAAAATGGGTTAGAATTTGAAATTCTGGAAGAGAAAGAGAATAAACGACGATAATAAAATGGTAAGAAGAAAGGCTTTACAGGCGATAGGCTATTAATATGGCAAACCATACTGAAAGAAGTGAAAATTTTCATAGACACTGTTTTAAGGCTCAAGATAAATTGATGACGATATGCAATGGCGATTGGACCATATAGTCTCAGACCCTGTTAGGGTACCCGATCGAGTCTAATGATAATTTAATGTTTTCATCTTATCTTATAAGGGGTGTTTTTTTTCGATGTATCGAACTTTAAGTTGCAATAAAACAACGATGGATTATTCGATTGACATGGATTTTATTATCCGAAGGATAATCTTTTGGCATTACATTTTAAATATGATTTCTGACATATGACCGCCACGGCTGGCGTGGATGTAGTCCAATCTGGACGTCCAATTTTCGGTGACTTTTTCCAACATTTGTGGCCGTATATCGGCAATAACACGGCGGATGTTGTCTTCTAAATGGTCAAGCGTTTGTGGCTTATCCGCATAGACCAATGACTTTACATAGCCCCACAGAAAGTAGTCTAGCGGTGTTAAATCACAAGATCCTGGAGGCTAATTCACAGATCCAAAACGTGAAATTAGGCGGTCACCAAACATGTCTTTCAATAAATCGATTGTGGCACGAGCTGTGACATGTTGCACGGTTTTGTTGAAATCACATTTCCTGGACATCGTGCTTATTCAATTCAGGAATGAAAGAGTTAGTAATCATAGCTCTATACCGATCACCATTGACTGTAACGTTCTGGCCATCATCGTTTTTTTAGAAGTACGGATCAATGACTCCACCAGCCCATAAAGCGCACCAAACAGTCAGTTTTTCTGGATGTAACGGTATTTCGACATACACTTGATGATTAGCTTCGCTCCAAATGCGGCAGTTTTGTTTGTTGACGGAGCCATTCAACCAGAAGTGCGCTTCATCGCTAAACAAAATAAGCTTATGCAAATCGAAAACAACGGTAATCTCGTTTTGGGTCCATTAGATGAATCTACGCCTTATTTGATGATCGTTTGGCTTCAATTCTTACACGAGTTGGATTTTGTAAGCACGTAAACCAAGATCCTTCGCAAAATCTTCCATAAAGTGGATAGACACAGATCCAATTCCTGTGCTCTATGGCGGATGGACTCATTCGGGTCTTCCTCAATGCTACGCTCTACAGCAGCAATAGCTTATTCTGTACGCACCGTACGGCGTCTCTGGAGATGCGAGTTATCAATAATGGTTAATCGAATTAACTGCTCTGATGGACGATTTTCTCGACGATAAAATAGACGTAGTGCGCAATACGCATTCAGCACAGAACCATTATTTTCCAAATAAAATTGCACTATCTGCAAGCGTTGTTCAGGCGTGAGTCTATTCATGATGAATTGCTAAACCAAATTGAGAATAAATCACTTGACCGCTGTTAAATCGGTCGCCATCTTGAACAGTAATGCCAACTTAAAGTTCTATACATCGAAAAACATTACAATCCATTACAATCATGGATGTCATGTCACTTTATTAGATGTTAAAAAACACAATACCTCTTAAGACGTCATTTTAGATACATCAACAGGGTAAACGAGGCTTTCAAAGCGACGGTGTTTCTGGAATATGCAGTAATTTCGGTGATTCTTGGATTGGTTTTATTGCAAGTGATTGCTGTAAATAATTCGGGATAAAGTGTTTGAAAAGTGATAACGGTTCATATTTTTTTAGGGGATGGACGCGTCTCTTAACGGCACTTTTATGTTTGTAGTAAGCAGTCAATTATTGTTACTCGCTTGGACCGCTGACGAAATTGTGGTGCAAGTAATATATTCAACTCTAGATGAAACTCTGCCGGTTAAAAATAAAGTTTTCAGAGTATGAAGTTGGCCACGGCCCTGTTTGAAAGCAATTGGTACGTCCACGATACTGAATTGGTGGGTTCGATCAAGTTTATGATCGCGCGATGTCAGAAACCTCTGAGTATCGATATCGGGCCATTCGGTCGGATGTCAATTCTGTCAGCGATGTCAGTGAGTATAGACTATTTAGAGGTATAGTAAAGTGAATAACTGATGTGATGATTTGTATTAAGAAAGAGTCGTGCAAGCTACAAAATTTAAATATAACCAGACAGATTCCTACCTTGATAGGGTTTTAATTATTTTGTTTCTCAGACATTAAATCATAATTAATAACAATAATCATGATAATAACGTATTTACAAAAATTTGTTTCATTACTAATTACGGTTACTCATTTACTCTTATTAGATTTTCCATAACATTGGCATTATGGATATAGGATTTCTCCACTTTCTCAACATGGATGAAATGTCGTGTCTTGCAATTGTTCCCCTTAAATCGTTTGCATATTTGGTAGCGGTATAGTATACTACTCATTAGTTTCTTATGTTTAAAGTATTTAAAGGTCCTACTAATTGCTGTGTTTTATGAACTACGTTGTAGTAGATATCATTGTTGTGCATGTAGTTTGGAAATGTTGTTTGCTGTCAATAACACTGTTTAAAGGCAGCTTAGGGTTCGTTAGATTTTGAACCAATATTCAAATTGTTCTGACCTGATATCCTCAAGGTAATCCAGCCCTTTATGCCGTTAGTAGATCAAGACGTAATTTTTTTTCTGCACCTTTTTTCAGATTATTATGTGTACCGAACGAAGTTTCGCCCAAGTAAATAATTTACCTTTGATGGTCTCGATAAAGTCTGATTCTGTCTAAATTTTCAAATCGCCATTTCTCAATTCTACTGCTTCGCATACATATCCATACATTTTTATCTTAACACGTTTAATTCAGATTTCATCTTTTCAGGCCATAAATTATTCAGTGTAGGCAAATTTTCACCTCATAACATCTTGATCATTTCCACCTTCAGGATTAATTCCAATTTTCTGTTTTCTCTAACACCAATAAGTAATAATAATTAACAAAAAAATTGTACTATTTATTAGACAACTACACTTGCTCATTGCTATATTATTAAACTCTCTCTCGTATTTAAAGGAGGTAAAATGATAAAGCCGTATATTTTATTTCCGTTGTTTGTCCATGAATACACTTCATAAATTTGATGTTGTTAATTTACTATATCTCTGAATAGAGTTTCTACAATTTAACAAGACCTGTTTTATATTTGATTAATTTTAGCGACTGAAGTTGGCTTATTCTTATTCATCCGTAATGGTGCAAAAGATCCGTCGATAAAAGACTGCCTTTTCATTAGCCAGATGCATACGGATTTTAAACTTTTGAAATTGCCTGAAGCAGAAGACATCAGTGATATCGTTTAATTGAAATTTAAAAAAATTTTTTGAAATTTACTTTTTGCTTTTGTGTTGTCTCTGGTGAACGAAAATATTTTTATGATATTATGATAATGTAATTGCCTCACAGATTTAGTATGACTAGTCACTGACTAGACTTGTAAACTTTGGTTATTAAAGTAATGTTATTTTCATTATCATTATTATTATTTAAAAAATCAAGCACAAATTTTTATATTATTTTAACGTCCACTGCATCACTGCACGCTTCTCACTTCTTGTCGCATAGTCCTTGTACTCTTGAACTTCTCGTATGACCTAGCAAACTTTTCGTAAATCCACCAATAACCTACACCATGTTCCACCTAAAACTACTACTATCAAAAAATGCAAACGCGCACATTACCCCAAATTTCTTTAAAACTAGGCATTATGGTTTAAATATGTCAATTTTTCTCAAAGAATTAAAAAATGAACAAATTATAAACTTTTCTCTATTTCTGCTACCTGTAGATAGTGTAGTACGTAGTTAATGTGGGTGGGCGACATTGAATACTTTTTATACAAGAGGTTGCGAAAAACCAGTGTCGGTATCGGAGCGCAAGTTTCATTAAACACTTATTGGTAAAAACCGGACATTGGTATCTAGTAACCATAGTAATAGGGTGTTTTTGAAAATGTGCATTTTGAAAAATTTTTCTATTCAATACAACTAATAGATAATTAATTATCGACCGAAAATTTTATTTTTTATATGTGACTGTGTGTTTATTTATAAATCATTGAAAAGTACTGGAAATTACATTTCCAAAAATAGAGCATATTTGATATTTTGCTCGAGAGTTTTCAACAAATAGGCTTAACTGCGTTCAAATAGTTTTGGTTAGTTCTCAGATAAATGAGATATAGTTTATTTTATGAAATCCAGAAGAATGTAGAAACAGCGATCCTGTTTTAATTATTAACAATTATTGTACTTTGAGATGATCGGCAGTTCAACAATATCATTTTTTGAAGATACCCTTTATAGACTTGTTCAACCTATGAAAGCTCTCTGGAAATAGCGCGCATCGTATAGTTCTAAAGTTGTTTTTTTCAAAAACGGCAAACTTTTTATATATAAGGGTATCATAGTATATTATATGCCGCTTTTCGTTATTACAGGAGAAAAATATTTGTTCTTGGCCTAGGCAAAATAATGCTTTAATATGTTAGAAGTTTATACGGGGGACAAAGAAAATTTGGTCTATACAATATGTCAGCGCAATCAAACAAACGAAAAGCCTTGGAGGGGAGGGGTACTTCATCCAAATAATACCATAAATATTTCAAAAACTTACACTCAATTTCTTCCAGGCTATTAATGTGACTATTGTGAACAGGTAACCAAACTATTGATGCTTACTCTAGCCGTATATTGATGTATGACTTTTCTAATATCCTTAATACTTCTGTATTGTTAAAGTCTCCAGTGCAATGTACGATAAATCCACCACTTTTTGAGTTGTCAGCGAGTACCTGATTAGCAGGAGGTTCCTTTGGTCGAGTGTAATATTACCCCCAACTCACAACAAGGGTTAGAATGGGGGAGAGTTTCATCAAAAATATGATAGTCATATACAGTTACATCCATGTTGATATTGCGCTTGGCTGTATTGAGCTGTAGGTTATTATTATTATTTGCTCGAAACTACGCTGTGGAGTAAGAGCGACATATTACATTGTTTTCTAAAAATCTGTTTTTAAGAGAGGCCTGACATTTGATTTTAAGAGTACCATATTCGCTTTTCCACTTTTCCAGAAACATATTTATCCCATTATCCAACGTTGAACATGGACCCGTTCAATTGTGCAGCGCGTTTGACGATACAGGGGCATGACATAACGAGTGTCTGTTTCCTTTAATTCGACAAATCGCGGCGGAGACCGTCCGTCCGTTGACGAATTCCGGCGGCGGCAATTAAGGACGACCGCCTTTTTTCGGCCCTAATAAACATCTAGTTACCTTCGCAACTGAAACCGGCCGCCGAATATTTGTCAACATTCATTTTGTATCGCCTTCGTCTCTTTCTTACCCGACGTTGACGTTTGCCTGACCGTAGCGATTGTGTGTTGACCGCCGCCGAATGAAGGAAATGCCGTCGCTTTAAGTATTTGTTATTTTCGAAAAATCTTCGAACCCGAATTTCTTGCAAGTATCTGTAGGTCACATATAAATTACATCAAAATTAAATAATATCAATTATCAATATCTTGAGGGGCTGAGCCAATGTTGCCAGTGCTGCAAAGTATTAAATAGTACATAAATTAGATATTTTAATCGTTGTATAGTAACAAAATGTCGTGCTACCATTTCGTTAAGATTAATTCATACAATTTCAAGTAGAACTTTTTAGAAATGCCCTTTTATCATGTGACAACGTTGTAATGAATTGACGCTCACACCATTGCAGGGGAGTTGTTTAAATTTCATTTTACATGCGTGTTCTAGTACCTCCAAATTTGCTTTGCTTTTGCGAAAATAGTTTTCAAAAGTTGCAGGAAAATAATATTTTAAAGACTGATAGTCAAAATGCGGCAACGGTGTGAAGTTTGTAATGAACTTCTCGGTTTCGCTTCCATTATGTTATTTAATGGGCATGTAAACAAATCTACTCGCGTTTTCATAGATGGGTGGATTTATTATATTACGTGGTGTGCATAGTATTACTAATTGTTGTAGACTTCCAAGAATCGCTGAAACGACGACGTGGATGACTAGGACTTGCAGAAAACCAAAAGCTACAATTTGTAGCGATCACTTTTTAACTTATAATTTCGATTTTCGATGCGACGGAGTTAAATTTTTTAAACGAGATGTTTTTCCAAAAACATTTTGCGGTGAAGTTTTTGGACCGCAAAAATCAAAGTAAAACACTCATTTAAATTTGACCATGTGACCGAGTGTTTACTTTTTATAAAACTTCTGGATTTCTCCTGCGTCGGTTTTTGTTGACGCGAACTAGAGCTTGACTGAAACAGTTTCAGTCAAGCTCTGAAGAAGCCAACAGGGTGATTGGCGAAACGTTAGCTAGTTCGAATCAACAAAAACCGACGCAGGAGGAATCTAGAAGTTTAATAAAAAACATTACAGTGTTTATTTTTAGTTCTTCATCACAGTCTCCCCCAAGAAAACGGTACATACGACATTTCACAGAATTTGAAAAATGTGGTTTTGTTGAACTCCTAGTTTTCCCAAAAATACACCTTTTTATACACTAACGTGAACGGTTTGGAGAAGTCTTTCAATGGAATTCTCAAAAAATGGTAGGGTAATTAGCTTAAAAAGGACTAAGAATTGTTTGTAAACATATTTCAGATAAAATTAAAGGAATTGATATTCGTGTTTTGAATCGAATTACATCAAATTAACTATTTGTAATACGAATTATACCAATTTTAATCCCCCACGGGAATTTATTGCTACTCTCGGGAATTATTTTGTCCTATAGTCTGTCTCAATCTTCATCGTGACACTAATTATGGAAGTTACTTGCCGACGGCAATAAAACTCGGGCCCGGTGGGTATTAAAGGACAGAAAGTTATGAACGGACTCTCAAAGGTTTTGCTAATAATATATTTTTTTATTCATTTAGATGGATATAATCTTATTAAATTACACTAAGAAAAAACAAGGGCATTAAATATGTACTATAAATTCACAGGTAGGAATATTTATACACAATTACATTTTTATTCTAAATGGCTAATCTAATTCTGTTTTACTAACAGAATCGTCCTTGAGATTGATTATAATTGTTTTCCATATAGTCCTCAATTTTTATAATGTTTTTTTCCAGCTCTATGGTATGTTGTTAATTACTTTATTTTATAAAATCTATCAGACTAGGACTTAAAGTAGGAGTACCATTTTTCGTTTTGACCTTTTAATTTTACGTCCAAAAATGCTTGTGGAGTTAAACGTGCGGTGATATGGAGGAAGACGTAAAACATTATTCCCAGCCTGTTCAGTCAAATTATCGCATACATATTGTTTTTTAATTGAATATGAATTTAGGACTTCCAAAAGTTGCAACCTTTTTGGAACTGAATTCAAAATAAATATCATTTTCTTACAAATATTCCTGAATTTCAGTTTTGGAATTTGATGGGGCTGGTGCTTTGCGTAGCAGACGGCTATGTTAGTTTGCGTTATCCATGACAATAACACTGTTATTGGGAATATTTTTTAAAAGATTGTTTTGAAACCAATTTTCAAAAAGTTCGGCACTTGTAGGCTCATCATAATCCAACCTGGAATCCCTGATATTCTGTGTAGACAACAGCAAGCAGTTCTCGTAAAATAATTTTTTCGAAACGCACAGTAAAAACAATTATTCAATACTGCCACAAATCGTCAACACTCAAAAAATATATCAGAAAGAAAGAAATATACCTGGCCCACCTTTGCCTTGTCACTCAAGAAAGAATAAATTCTTTGGTTAGTCGCTTTACCCAATAACATTAGGTAATAACATCGTTAAAGATTTATTGGGGAGGGTCCTCCGAAAGCCAACACGATGAAGATTGAGACAGATTATACCTTACATGGTTAGCATAGTATGGTCTGTTCATAGATATAAGAAAGTGACCAATTGCTTTTGAATGGGATTATCCAAGGGTGATCATTAACATACAATGCAACAAGATTATTACCTTAAAGTTTCGGAATTTAAATTCAGGTAAAATTGTGGTCCTTAATAGAAAATAATTTTATACCTACCTGTATTCTTTGGTCTGGAATACTACTTAGTTTAAGTTGTGCGAATTATGCAAAATATGTGCGAGTCTAGTGTATCTCAGGAGATGCTCCTGCCCAAATGTAGAAGACACTATTCTATTGAGACGAAGGAAGTTATAAACAATGTTTATTTGACTCTCATTGAACGTGGTGCCAGCAAGCAAGCATCTTTAAAAGAAACGGCCACATTGACGAAAATTCCAACATCAACTGTATGGAAAATTGTGAGTAATCCCATTTCAGCGAGGAAAAAAGAGGCGATGCTGACATTTTCTCGTAAAATTTACCAGTTATACGAGGAGCAAAGGACAAAACAAGGAATTCGGAAATGGCGACTGTAATATCTAGAAAAAATTAGGATTTACAGAGAACAATAAAGGCCAATTATTTACTTGGATGAAACCTGGTTCGACACTTATGATACCCTGCAAAAGGGTTGGGTTGACTCAACTGGTAAGTATAAAACAAACGCGCCATCAAAAAGAGGTAAAAGAATAACTATTTTAAATGCACTTTTTCTGTCTACGAAAAATATTAAAGCTTTTTCTCTGGATTACCATGAAGACACCACCACTAATTTATTTGAAAGTTGGTTAAAAAACAAACCAGTTCCAAACATTTGGCATGTTTGGCACCAACTGAAATCTGCCATTCGTTGTAACAATGTTTTTCCCCGTGTTAACTCCAACGGCCTCAAACTTATAGAAACCGAAGTTTTTAACATCCCTCCACAAAGTTGGGCAAATTCTGTTAAACACATAGAAAAAGCAGAACAATCGTATATCCATATTGCAAATAATATAGAACAAATAATAATTAGAACAGGCGATGATCGCGATAGCGATACTGATATATTATGTGAATAATTTTAAGTAATTTAAGTAGGTAATAAAAATAATTTGTAATTTTCTTTTAGATTTAAACAAAAATATATCTTTCCTAACAAAACCTCAAATAATTAAATTCCAAGCAAAGTACGGACCTGTTCGGTCATATTCCATTTTTACAGCTTACCAGGGTCCTTCCTTAATTCGTATCAGTTAGTCACATTCTTATATCTATCAACAGACTTTAACCATTCATATTTAGGCAACAGCCCTCACGACACTCGTCCCTTGCCTAAATGAATATATTGTTATCCCAGCAATGGCAAGTCTGTGAATGACTTAGGTGGACGTTTGTGGGCTAAGACAATGTTGCCAGTGCAGGACATAACCGATGCCGATTCATTATACACAGAATAATATTTCTATGTATTCGAAAGCATAGGTGAATTAGAGATTTAACTCAATTGTTTTGCTAACATTTCGTTTAAAATATTAATAAAACGACAAAAAGTTGTTTTTTTTTTTAAATTAGCGATATAGTTTGTAAGAATTGTATTGTAAATAAACGCATCGGGCAGTTTTAAACCCGATTTCACCTGCTTTTGCTTATTTTTGTGGGAAATTAACTCTTTGAAAGTGAAAGGTTGTTGCCGCGATCCTGTGAAGTTTGACTTTTTAGTTTCGAAAGCGTTTTTCATCTGTATGTAAATAAATCGAAGACGCGTTTCATAGGCGGGTGTACTTACTTTTTTGTTATGTATTGGAGGAAAATTTGACATATTTTGGAAAGTAGGTATTAGCTTAAATTGAAACGCAGTCTATGCAGGGTGCATGTACAAAAGAATAAAAGGATGGCATTAATTTTGTAAAAGTTACGTAGTGGTCCGTTATTTTGCGAAAGTGGTCAGTGACTCTCGCAAAATGAATAAAATTGTTTGGACTCTTCAATAAACTCTTGACCTCGATAACGGTAAATTAAATAAATAACTCTTTTATGGTTTTTTGGTGATTTTATGAAAAAGTGTCGAGTTCTATATATTTTATTTATGTATAGTACAAACTTTAGAGAAGCAAGGATAATTTGATATTCTTCACTGAAATCCAGAACTTCTAGCACATTAATGTTAAAATCACCAACTATTACGTGAAAGTTAAGTTTTTCTCGTTTATCCTCCATCACTAGGTTGTCGACGACAATAATCTTTCTTTCTTACATTAGTATTTAAGTATATTATTTGTACGGGTTCTAAATTACTTGATTATTTAAACGCTGTTTATCTTGCATTGAATCAAGTAATTTATTTTTGTACAAAAATGTATGTTTGTACTGAAGTTTTCGTACTGACGTTTACAAACTTAATGTTTTTTTTTATAAATAATTCAAAATCTTCAGTTCAGTTTTTTCACGTTACTCTTTAACTGTCTTTAATTATTATGTTTTAATGACAATTTTATTATTGCTTGTTTTTGAAATTTTCATTTTGGGTATATAAATTGCAAAAGGGATATCTATCCTACTTTATATTGGTTTAAAAAACAAATGATTTTATGGTTTTTGAACTATTGGGTATTTTATGAAAAAGTGATTTTTGTATGTCGAGTTCTATTTATTTGATTTATGTATGGCACAAAATTAAGAGAAGCAAGGATGGTTTGATATTATTCAATGAAATCCAGCACTCACAGTGAAAGTTAAGTTTTTCTCGTTCCGTTAAATAATAATGTAGATTCTTGATAGGATTTTTTTGATTTAAAATTACTTCGAGAGCCCTTAAACTAAAGGAACTATTTTAGAGTTAAGATAAACGATTGATATATTCTATACATGATTTCTGAGCGGCAAAATTAATACCGCAAAAAAAATTAACATACGGGCAAGCATCGGCGTCCCGGTATAATCGTCGCATCCGTCGTATAAATTGTATAAAACGGGAGCGGCCATTAAATAACGAGAGCGGAAAAATGTGGATATCGTCGGTGGCGGGCGGATTCCGGCCCCGCCCCGCCCCCGCCGCGTCCCGGTCAAAAGCGGTGCCGCATGAACAGATGCATAAACCTCCGAAAACGCATGTGAACCCGACAAAACAATGCCTTTATGTTTGTTAATTAATGTCCAAAAACGGGCACCGGACCCGCATGCCTGTTCCTTAAACAAGACGAGCCAATGCCAAACATTTTGTCTGGCCAAAACGGCAGAGCGTTTAAAAAATTCCCCCCCGACCGCACGAGGGAGCTCGCGGCACGGCCGAAAAAAAAAACGAACGGTGCCGAGGTCCATAGACCACGTGATACTTGGAAAATTCGACAGCCAACCCAGACAGGCATCTCGCGCTGCCGCGTTACCTTTTTTTGCCCCGGTCCCGCGATTCTAAATGACCGAACCACCGGCATACTAATGACGCGGGAAAAAGTCAGTGCCGGAACCCGGGGATAGATTAACGCACTCCTTAACGTGGTATGTCCATACATTTTCTTCAAAATAGGGTAATTTTATTGCTAAGCATAAACGAAAATGTCACAGATTTTCGGTGCATCGTACGGCTGCCTTTATGAACTAGATCCATAAGCTCTATAAACTCTGGATCCTCTGCTCTATATGCAGATGATGTGCGTATCTTTCCTTCTTTAATAATGAAACAGCAACTGCTTAAGGTAACACTTAAATGCGACTAAATCATCGGTTGTGATATTTGGCAAGAACAGGGCTGAACCCCATTGTAACATCAAGCTTATGCAAAAAATATTCGGGAATTCATAGTTTTTATTTGCAAGTCGTTTCTTAATTTTTTCTTCATCTTTTTTTTTTCTTTCAAACGAGACATAAACAACTTTATGCGTTAGTCCCATGCCAATTAAATGTTTGTGATGTTGTGTATAGCTTTGCTTAGATAAAATAGATAAAGATAAAGTTCAGAGGGCCTAAAAAGTTATGTACGAGTAGAACCAATAAGGGGAGCAACTAGTAAATAAGATAAAATTTGGAACCGATAGATGATGTGTGTATCTTTCCTTCTCTGCTACTAATGAAATAGCAACTGCTTAAGGCAAGCTTAACGAAGCCCTAAAACGGCTGATTAAACACTTAAATGCAACTAAATCATCGGTTGTGATATTTGGCAAGAACAGGGCTGAACCCCATTGTAACATCAAGCGCATACAAAAAATATCCGGGAATCCATAGTTTTTATTTGCAAATCGTTTCTTAATTTTTTTCTTCATCTTTTTTTTTCTTTCAAACGAGACATAAACAACTTTATGTGTTAGTCCCATGCCAATTAAATGTTTGTAATGTTGTGTACAACTTTGCTTAGATAAAATAGATAAAGATAAAGTTCCGAGGGCCTAAAAAGTTATGTACTAGTAGAACCAATAAGGGGAGCAACTAGTAAATAACATTAAATTTGGAACTGATGAGAATTTTCGAGGCAAGCTCTCATTTCATGTGTACTATACTTAACTTTCTAAGAGATCATTTTCATTTAATGTATATGCAATATACAATACTTACTTTCGTTTTGCACGCTGTTGCTTGTTATTTTATTGCGCGTTAAGGTAGTATGTCAATGTATATCCGTTTTCCGGAAGGTGCATATAGGGCTTATTATTAAGCCCTATATGCAGATAATGAAACATTAACTGCCCAAAAAAAGATAAACGAAGATATGTAATTGCATGTTACATACTCCACCAGTCATGGTCATGTTACAATTGGGGATGGCGTAGTAGTTGCACAAAATATGCAATAAATTGACATTTACATTTTACATTTGCATATATTTCTTCAGTTGGTCAATAAATGCATACAAGAAGTTAGTGGTTGTGGGCCAATTTAGTTTTTGTGACGTTTTGTGCGGCTCATGCTTAGATAAAATGGATAAAGATAGAATTCAGAGGTTACATAAATCTTGTATTCGATTCCAAAAGAAATTATAAACTGTACCTTATACCTTGTGTGTATTCCCATGCTGTTTCTTACGTATGCCCTGACCTAAGCTCTTATTTCTTACTTCTGACCCTGTCATTACTGCTACTGCTTTTGTTTAATCACGGGTTAACGGGGTATTTTCATATGTTCACAAATGTCTAATACCTCATACGGCCATGAATTTATATTAATATATGTTATGAAAATTTATAACATTCTGACTTCTTTATATTAATATATGTTATGAAAATTTATAACATTCTGACTTCTTTAAAAGTAAGTATTAATCAAAATGAAGTTATAAAGTCAGCTGCTAATGTGGGAACCTAAATAACCACCCTAAATAATAAATTAGTTTTATATTAATAATGCACTGAAAAAAAAAAAAGATTTGAATTTGTCTGGGCTTTAAAACTACGCATTCACTCTTTCTTTAAATAAGTTACGACGAATGGCAGTTTCAGTTGGTGCCAAACATGTTCAATGGGATTAAATATACAGTGGTAAGGTGGAAGCCTTAAAACTGTATGCCCTAGATTTTTTGCATAATTATTACAGACGTATTCCTTTTGTAGGTTCAAGCTTTGCAGAACCTCAATTAATTGCTTTTTGGTATAATCTTCGTGAAAATAAATGTCATCATTATACATATAGTTTTGATTTTTTGCTTTTGTGTCACATGAGGAAGGGGTTTTAGTCAACTGTCTACTCTGATAACTTGCATTGTAAATTACAATTACGCTATTAGGAGGGATGTTTGGAACTAGTTTGTTTTTAAATCAACTTTCAAATAAATCAGTGGTAGTGTCTTCATGGTAATCCAGAGAAGAATCTTTAATATTTTTCGCAGACAGAAAAAAGTCCATTTAGAATCCAACCATATTTAGAGGCAGCATGCAAAATAGTTATTCTTTTTTTTTTATCAGTTGAGTCAACCCAAGCCTTTTTCGGGGTATCATAAATGTCGAACCAGGTTTCATTCAAGTAAATAATTGGCCTTTGTTGTTCTCTGTAAATCCTATTTTTTTTTTGAAATTCCATTCGCCATTTTCGAATTCTAAAAGATTCCATTAAAACTTGCCTATTGTAATTTTTTTTAAATTTAAAACCCATAAGGTAGTTTGCCACATTTAACACCGGTTTCATCTTTTTCAAGCCTCCTAATTAAGGTATCTAATGCAGGCACGCTTTGTTTCTCGTATAACTGGTAAATTTTAAGCCGTATTATATCTTGATCACTTTCATCTACACTCGAGGAAACTTCGGCATCGCTTCTATTTTTCCTCGCTGAAATGGGATTATTCACAATTTTCCATAAAGTTGATGTTGGAATTTTCGTCAATGTGGTCCGTTTCTTCTAAATATGCTTGCTTGCTGGCGCCACGTTCAATGAGAGTCAAATAAATATTGTTTATAACTTAATGAGTCTCAATAGAATAGTGTTTTCTACATTTGGGCGGGAGAATCTCCTGAGATACACTAGACTCGCGTATAGTTTGCATAATTCGCACACGATTCAACACACGCTATATTACACACGAAATAAGAATGATTACTAATAAACTTAAACTAAGTAGCATACGAAACCAAAGAATATTAAACACAGGTAGGTATAAAAATATTTTCTATTACGGACCACGATTTTACCTGAATTTAAATTCCGAAACTTTAGGTAATAATCTTGTTGCATTGTATGTTAATGACCACCTTCGGATAATCCCATTCAGAAGCAATTGGTCACTTATATCTATGAACAGACTTTACCTATCGATGCTCACCCGTATAAAGGACAATTTTATTCCTTCGTGACCTTAACCGGCGATGCACAATAACTCAAGGAAGTTGAGTCGCGCGCGCGCGGAAAATATTAGCCGCGAGAAAATTACGGCAACTGTGTCGGATTGTCGCTTTTTTCTTTTTTGAATTTATTCGACCTTCGATTAGGCGTTATCCAGGCGTCATATCGCGGATTTTTACTTCTTGAGACTTTCGAACCTTGCCGAGGTCGCTCGTTTCGTTTTTGCATTGCCTTATAATACGAGAGCCGGCGCACAGAAGCGAATTTTCTGAAAATCCCGATGTCAGAAATGCCAATGTGAGAATTTCAGGAAACCCCATTAATTATCTGCATACATGCCTGTTATACCTTACTTTAGGTACTGCTTTATTCTGAATATGTTAAGAAATATGTAAATTTAAAGTTATCATTTTTTTTTAAGTGGTGTTATTTTATTGATAGTGACGTTAGAAATCTGTGTTTTGCAATAATAATTTGCCTAGTGGTGAGTAACAAAGGTACAGTTGAGAAACAGGAAATTTTATTTTAATATAGTTACAAAATTTTTAAAAAAGTCGGTTTTACTTTTTTTTTAGAGAAAAATTCAATGATTCTGACGATTATTTGGCATTTTTTCTAAACGATTTGGAAACAATCTCATCAATAATTTTACTTTGTCGTATTTATGAAATACCATTTACTTAAATTGACTAAGAAATAAAATTTGATTATTTAATTATTTTTAACAGATTTGGGTTTGCAAGTCGATAGACCAAAGAATTGATTTGGTCTATTTGGAATTCGCATATTTGCTTCAGTGGTTACAAGATTTTTTTATTCATCTATGCTTAGTTTCGAATTCTAGTTGTATTATTAAATACCTCTGAAACAAGAATTATCAATTTTAAGGAGTTTAATTGGGAGGGGAGGAGGATTTTTTGTTGTAATTTTTGGGGATATAGGATCTTTGCACTATTTTTACTACTCAAGGTCTACTGCAAATTACATTATCGAGTCAAGTATAAGCAAAATTGAATTAAAAAAAACAATACTTTCAATGTGTATGGTCATTCCTTTCTACACGTTTTATTAATTTTTATTCGAATTGATGGCGCTGGATTTTTTCCCAGATTTTGTCCACATTTCACCAACATTTCGTCAACAGGTTCATTTCATCAAACGTCAAATGTACAATGTTTACCCGTATATTCTTGCGCATTATCTACAGGGTCACTCGTAAGATGTATACGAAAAGTGCACAAGTGTCGAAAAATTGGATACTGTCAAATTTTGCCAGGTGAATGTTTTTAAACGGCCAAATGTATTATTTTATATTGTAAGTCTTTTTTTATATTTTTTATAGACAATATGAGTCGAAAAGATGGCTCAACCCGTTGATGATAGATTCTTTGTGTGAAAATATTAGGACTTTCATTGTCATTTCATTATCTAAAATACAGACCACTAAATTTTATCTGATTTGAAAATTGGTATGTATAATTGTCCTGTCCTTTCCATACAAATTTAAATAAAATCCCGATGTACATCTATAATATTACAACTTATTTCGTTTAATAAATTTCTTAACTATTTTTTTTTCTCTCGTGTAGATGATAGATATTTTAATTTAACAAATTTACTTTAAATACTCCGCTTATCTCTCTTCTTCGTTGTATAGTTGAGATTAAAGAAAAACATACTACAAATAATAAAAGCGTTCCATTAGAGAAAACATCAAGCTGTGAAAAACAGTCAAAAATAGGGTCACTACAAATGATAACAAGAGATATCAATATTGATGAAGGTAAATATTAATTTAATGTTTACTTACATCATATAATTTCGATTTATTTTCATTAAAAATACTGAATCTTTTCAGATATGAGTTGTGCTAAATGGTATGATGGTTGTTTGCCTAGAGTCAGATTTTCGAACTTGTCAAAAATGAGGCAGTTTGAAATTTCGAGACCCGCTAATATTTGTAGTGAAATACAAGAAGACCAAAGTCAAGTGTGTGTATTACACTCAGTAAATTTACCCCATTAGCTTACAATTTTTGTCGTAAATATCATTTAATTTTCTGTTATGGCCATTCTTTAATAAAAAATATTATTTATATTTATTTAATCGATCCTTTAAAAGTGATTCGGATGACCCCATTTAAGAAGTGCTGCAACTTTCACATTTCACATTCTATTATTATAGCGTAAAAATTCAATGAATGGCAGCTTAGCAACCCGGGGTATAGTGACATGATATGGGGGAAGAGCTTTTTTCCACCAAACATTTAGTAATTTATATCAGTGCCAAACCAAGGAAGTTCAGTATTAAAAGTATTTTGTAGTTTGTTGAAATTGTGTTAGTTACATTTTATATATTTTGTTCTTCATCCATCTCAACAATACTAAGTGAGTCTTGGTTGAACGTACAACTTACGCCGGTCTATATGTACATTCCAAACGTTATACGAAGAAAACAAATGTTGGAATAAAACTTATTTTTCTTTTTCTCAAGATTTAAAGCATCACTGATGTGTAAGAATACGCCACCTTAATTCGCTAAAATGAAAAATATTGTACACAAAGTTCCGGCCTAATTTTAATATTCCTTACGGACATTGCCGAGAACATCGTCATAGGACCAAATGGGCCGACATCAATACTTAGCGGCTTCTGGCACCTCACGATCATAAAGTTGATAAGGATCATCGTTTGGCTGCGAAGGTCATACCATTTGCTCTCATATAACGCCGTAGACATTTTGGAACTCTTATAAAATGAGTTGTAAATAAACTCGTTTAAAGAAAACTGTTTCATTACCTGAACGACAATTTCATCTGTAGCCCAGGCCAATAGAAGCAACTTCTTATGAAATTCCGATTAAAATTGCCAATTGAATCTAATTATGAAGGCTTCCAATGCAGTATCGTAATCAAGCAAAGCTTTAATTAATAGCTATGCATTAATCAAGAATAAGAAGCTCCTAGTTGGGCATCTACCGACAATTCAGAGAAGCATATTTAAAGAAACAAAATTGTGTTGGATTATTGATCAAATCAAGGCCTCCCAAATATGTCACTAGCAGAAATCATCAGACCAGTGGAGGATAGAGAAGCATGGAGCAGGTTTGTACCATGAATGAATCACGACGGTTGAAATGATTCAAATGAAGTGCTGGCTTAAAGCAAATTTCCGCATAGTTTATTATTTTTACAACATTACCGCAATTATTTGGAAGAGTACCATGCCAAGAATTAATGATATTACTGCATATTCCAGAAACACCGTTGCTTTGAACGCATCATTCACGCCGTGAACGTATCTGAAATAGATCAAACTTCTATAAAGATAGCGAACCAGTAACGAAAATGTGACTTACGCGATCAAATTCTGATGTTTTACGCATAATCTTCTCAAATTTTCAACCACACTTCCATTATCGCCCTTTCAGTATTGATCAAAGTGTCTGAAATAGTTCTGGAATATGATGAGCTGACTTCTAATGAATATTATCACGCAGTTATTAAAAATTTGTGTTGTAATGATGAAATTCGTCAACACAAACATAGATATGCTTTGTTGGGTCAACGCCCACACGTGGTACCTATTTTCGTCGTACGGATACCATATTAGGAACGGTAACGGTTTTTGCAGTGTGTTATTCGCGTGTCTTTGGAGTCTATGAAACTTGTAGCTATTCAAAATTCCTAAAAGGGCTTAAATTAATAAAATTATATCAAATGTTATTATTTTATATCATTACTGTTTCGTCCCGATAAGGTAATTTTACTGATAGTGGAAACTCATTTTCAAAATGAATATATATTAATTAATTAATATGTATTTGGTTTCTGAATTCTCTTTCCATATTTCAAATGGCTCAAGTATGTCTTTATGCTAAATAGTAATTATCAGCATTTTGCAACGTTTGTAGATGAAACGAGCTAGCGAATATTTCTTTTAGTTTCACTAATATTTACTTTTGAAAACGTCAGTTTATTTTTGGGTAACTAGTCAAATAGAATGATTGGTGAAATAATACCTTATTTGAAAGAAATTTGTGCGAACTTTAGCTTCAAATTGAAAAATATACATTTGTTATAACAGGTGACTGGTAAATGATAACAGGTAATTTGTCGCAGAACCGCCTATGTCCTACTACTTACGCAAGAGCAGAAGAAACAATAACAAGATGATTTAAACTCACCAAATCCGCAAAAGGCGATTGCCGTAAATAAAGTGGTCGTGCAAAGAAATTTACTCAACACGTGAGAGAATTTCACATGTTTCGAGTAGATTCTCAGTGTTGCCGAATCGTTTTGCATATAAATATAGCGTTCGTATGACATAGCTTGCAGTAGTATTTCTTTGGAAATGCGTGGATAAAACACTACTTTGACTAACAAAAGCGCCAAATAGATCAACTTCGATATGCTGTCGATTGCTACAAACATTAGGATCGTATCTGCGAGCTGATTTTTGCTAGTCATTTTTAGCGTTACCTGCTTCTGGATCGGTTCTTAAAATGTACGGTATGTCTATGGCCATCGAAATTGTAAAATAGAAACTAATAACGGTTAATATTATGTAATAAATCATGTAGAAATAAGCTGAAAGTTTCGAACAGTGTGATATGTCCAACCTCCACATTCCCGCCAACTTCAGAGTTATGATGACGAAACGAAAGAGCTCCTTTCTGCTCTCCATTTTAAGAAATGAATTCACAGGAAAACTTTCCTTGAATTTAAACCACATGCACTCTTAAATAACAACAAACATTTCAAGACTCCGAAATATTGCATGAACTTCCTATCCGTTGTCCATAGACGTAGGTGACTTTACTTTTATAAACTTTAAGATTTTTCGTGTGAAAATTTCAAAAAATCTTTGCCTGGTTTTTCAGTTACATATGTCAAATTTGGCAGAATTATTTGGGGTATAAAATAGCTCTTTTAGCTCCATGCACATTAGAACTATTATTGATATTATTGATTATAATATTGGCGAGGAAGCTCCCCGAAATGACGCTACTGATCTACTTGGGCTTAAAATAAAATAACACTGCTAAACTTTAGCAATATCGTCAAAAGAATATTTGAAATATTAATATAAAGTAGACTTGAAGAAGATTTTTTAATTTAAAAATATGTCTTCAAAATTTTTTTGTTTTGTTTTGACAAAATTATAGTTGACCTTGAATTAAATATTATCGTAACCAAAATCATTAAAAAATTACTGTCGCGCATTTTTCAATATTTTACTTATATACTTATACTAAAGTTGAGATACGCTACTGTAGAAAAGTCTCCTGTTAATAAACAATGCCAGTGCCCTAGCGGGAAGAATAAAAAAACTCGCAATTTAGAATCCAGGTATTTGGGACCTGTAATTTTCCGACACACCGACAATTGGCGTGTTTTGAATGTTTTACGTATATAATTTGCGTTTGTTTGTATCGCAAAAAACTTACGTCTTATATGTCTTGGTGTATCAAAGGCTTGCGTACGCCATGCTTTTATCTATTTTTATTGAAAGTAAAGTTTAGAGATAAGTACACCTCAACAGAGGTCACGCCCGTGACTACCGACCTTCTTGCCCGCACTGCTGTTGCCGCCCTTAAGAAGCGGAAAATAGGTTTTCATACGTTTTATCTGTTGCAGTGCATCCGGTCTGAGTTCCTATTGGATAGCTCAAAGATGAAAGGTGGTGAGATTTTACCTGATTTGAAGCATAGAATTCATAACTTTTTTGCTGCTGATCTGCTAAGTTTTAATCTTAGAAGTTGTATTTACTTTGGGATTCCTCCTGTGTTGGTTTCTGTTGGCTTCTTTAGAGCTAAAATCAATTCAGTTTAGTGCGCAAGAAGCCAACGTCAGCAAGTTCGATTTATGGACAACCGACTCAGCAAGAATCCAGAAGATTTGTAAATAGTATATCACAGTAACCTTTGGAAGTTTCATACACATACATAAATATTGAAATGGCTTAAAATATTATTGACTTTTTTGAAACTTTACTTGCCAGTTTTTGTAACGAGTGACTTGATGTTATTATATTATATTATACCAGTAAAAAAACCATTATTCAACAGCGAATAACGTGATTTTTTAATTGCGCCGGAAAAAGAAAACAAACGAAAAGGGAGAAAGAAAAAAAATCAAGGATGCAAGGGAGAGCAAGGTGCACATTTTTTTACAACAATCATTCTTTTTCAAATATTGCTGAAGGCAGACGTGCCGCATTTGACGGAAGTTCATTTCAGTATTTTGGACCGAAGCAGAAGAACCATTTTTGAAATGAAACGGTTTTATGTTGTGATGTTTGAAATTCTCCAAAATTTCTCATTATTTGGTTTAACTTTTTCGCCTGTCAACAATCCGAACAGACAGGTTGAGTTTAAGCACTGTTAAAGTTTTCTTGGGACGTGTCTATATTTTCAAGAATAAAATCTATTTGCAGCTGGGAGTCGTCATTGAACTATTTAAGTTGAGTTTTTATTAATACACTGAAAACAATAAAGGCAATAAAATAAAACAGGTAAACCTGTTGACATTTTCTTTTATTTTGGGATCTTTGGATCTCACTCTACTAATACAATTATGTAATTATATAAACTTGTTTCTTTTTGTTATAAACCATAAATTATTTTTTTATTCAATGAACAACTGAACGTATAATAGAAACATTTTTCGCTCAGTTTAAAAATGATAAACAGGATTAAATGTTTTTCAATCCAATAAATGTTGTTAGTTGTTAATAAATACATACTTACTTACGGCTGTTAAACTAATTAGATGTTTTATTTCAAAAACCTTGCAAACCAAATATTTATCAATTGTAAGCAGTTTTAATTAATTGTCAGAATATTTCATAATAAACAATGCATCCCTTCAAAAAGATTTTTTTTTGCCAGTTTTGCGAAAAACTTCCACAGGGAACTGGTACCTAGGATCCTGGAAAATTGCAAAGAAATATGTCAGCTTTCAAAATATTCAATTAACCATGCAATAAGAAATTAAAATGTTTCAAAGAAAATAGTTAATATTTTGAAAACCGATAGAGGGGAGTCAAAAACCTATGTGACTAAATTTTAAATAAATTATATAATACAATGTATACTGTAAACTTTGTTAAAAGTTACAGATGTATAAAAACGCTATTTTATAACAATAACAAGTCCATGCGAAGGGGGTGACTATCCATTGAGCAATAATTCCAATCCTGTTTATGAGTCTCCATTTTTGTACATTCCCATGTGACCTCTGATTTTTAGCATTTTATAGCATTACCGACGTGTACGAGTAAGCCAATTTTAATCGCTGAGGGAGCAAAGGTATGTTAACTGATATAATTTTGTACAATTTGACTTACACTCATCGCAGAAAACATCGTCATGGGACCGAACGGACCTATATCGATGCTAATCGGTTTCTGGCACCTCATGATCATAAAGCGAATGAATAACATCGATTTCTTATTCTGTTCGAACCATTTGCTCTCGTATAAGGCGCTTGCTAATTCGGAACTCTACAAGAAAGGATATAATGAATATTTACGAAACAAAACCTTAGAAATTGAATTACTTGAACTACGATTTCGTCGGTTGTCCATGACAATAACATGAGCTGACTGATTACGACAAAGCCGAAGGTACTGTTTAATGACGCCTCCAAGCCCTGCAGAGAATAATATTTGGCAAAGAGAAAGCATTTTTAACTATTTAAAATTAATTAATTCATACCGCAATGATTTGGAAGAGCACCATCCCCAGGATTAAGGATATGACCGCGTATTCGAAAAATATCGTTGCCTTGAACGCTTCGTTTACAACTTGTATATACCTATATTTGAAACAGAAATACAAGAAGTTAAAGTTATTAGTTATTAGTTTATGGAAATATTTGGAAAACTGAAACTAGAATTTGAAAAAAGTTTTGATAAAAGATATTCACCTGAATATCCAAAGACTAAATTTAACCTTCTTGTCCCACCTCAATAGAGCGGAAGGTGAAAAATATTCAAAATGTAGCAATAATTTGGGACACCCATATAAAACTTATACTAGAGGATTTTAATTTTCCATTCACCTTGCTAGCTCTCAGGATAGAAATACAATCTTTATATAAATCTAGATCATTGGTTAGACAACCCACCATTAATTGTGATGTGGACTCTGGGATATCAACTTGGCGGCAAGGCAAAACCGTAAGAACTTAGTCGCGCCAAGGACGATCCTCCATTAAAGGTGAATTTAATACAACGCTTACAGTTTTCATGGAAGCCTTTTTGACGTTGCTACACCTTCACATTTACCTGGAGGAGGGGAGATGGGCCACTTCCAGACTAAACCAGAAGGCTATAGAAGACGCTGTAGTTATGTGTTATGGAGCGCACCTAGCTGCTATTAATGGTAGTCTTTATCTCTGCAAGAATGCCAGTAGAAATATAATTTGCAAAGAGGAAAATCAACACACTTGCACTAACGACGTTGAAATCGCATCTACGTTCCTCCAAAACCATAAAAAGTTAGCAAAAAGGCCTGTAAGCTGAAATAAGGTAACTCTGTCATGGACATCTAGATTATGTAGCCTGGTACGAAATGAAAAGGCAAAAAACACAAAAGGGAAGATAAATTTCGTCCATGCGTGGAGAGTAAAAGAAGCTAAGTTTGTAAGCGAGCTTCTTTTACTATCTGCGATTACCAAGGTTAGCTCATTCGAAGGCATTGAGAGAATGGTCCAAGAAAGGCACAAGGAACAACAAAAGTTTGAATATAAAAGTTGGTTCCAGTACAAAAATTTCCCTATTTTTTGGATTATTTCAATTGTATCATTTGAATTACATACAGGGTGGTCAAATATATATATTTTTTTAATGGAACGCCCCATATTTTGTTACATTTTTCACCCCTTTAAAAGTCGAATGCGTTATTAGTGAATGTCTTCGGAATTCAGGTTATGCTTTAAATGTTTTTTTCAAAACATTTTTCTGCTTAACATGTTTTAGAAAATAATACTTTTTCTCAGACAATATTCATAATTGAAATATTATTGTTAAATACGATGTTTCTCTCATTTTTTACAAAATCAAATACCCTGTATATTTTTGCTTTTTCGGATAACCCATTAAAGGACGAATCCGATGATGTATATGAATATTGGTCTGCAGTGCCCTGTTTTGAATTTATTGACGATTTTAATCAATTCCGAAGCAACATGAAACGCAATTAATTTTAATTCTGAAAGCGTCTCTAATATTTTTTTATGAAATTGCTGCATCAATAACATACATTACACAGTATCGTTTGACAAACCTCAATATACAGAGTTATTCACGCTGAGTGTCCTATTAAACGTTATGTAAGCGAATATGCGTCACCTATGCAAAATATTTTTGGCCATTCGGTGTTGAAAGATATACTCGTAACGTATATCAACTTTCGTTTTTTTAATGGAACTCCCTGTATATTATTACATTTTTAGATTCTGGAACTTTTTTTGTGTAACATATATCATACCTATCTTGAACATTTTACTGATATAAAATAATTTTTTTTTGCAAACCGTACAGCTAAATACTTGCATTTTTTTGCGGTTTCCTTTAAATTGCTTTATTATAATATAGTTTGAGGATGAACCTATCGGGTACAGAGCGTTCATAAGATAAGCCCCAATTGGAGGTATATAAAAATCCATGTTACTTGGGAATTTTAAAAGGAATACCTCATATTTTATATTGGCACGTAAATGAGCAATTAATTGGCCATCTAAAAATATCAAACTATAATATATCTATTTTTCCTGGTTTTCGAGTTATATATCTGGGTAGTGACATGTCTAGAAGCATTCCGATTTCTCATTTTATCGTGTTTTCATAGTTAAAAGTGGCATTTATTTGGGCAAACAAGCACATGATTATGCAAAGGCAGATATTTTGAATATGTTTTACATTTATGGTGACTGTTAAAGAATTGTTTCAAGAAAGTGTAGAAGATCTAATAAACAATATCGGCATTTGCCACCAATGTATGAGAAAAAGCGTAAAAGAATTGAAAAAAATTTCGAAACCCACGAAGAAGGGAACTTCCAAAACTTGTTACAAACTCAGTAGAAAATGAAACCAACGTATTAGCATATTTTCACACATTTTCACATGCGTCCATTCCGAGCGCTAAAGATGATTTGGGCATATCTTATTCCTCGATTCAACGGATACTGAAGAAACATAATACGCATAATTACAAAATAATTGCATTACAATCTCTTCTCCCTCGTGAAATGATATTGGTTAGAATAAAAGAAGATCGAGATTGTTTGAAAGGATTTCAAAATTTTCAAGGGGGATATATTTTTAACAGAGATATTAATCATTTTTGGTAATCGGAAAATCCAAAATTTGAAGAAAAGCGATTTCAACATACATTTAGTTTCAACGCGTTTTGGTTAGAAAGATATTTGGATATTTTACGAACAGTAGTTATAGATTTTTTAGACAATTTGACGGAGTTCCGGTTCATTGCACAAATCGACTAAGTCAAGAACTTACAATCATGTTTGAAAACCGATGGATGAGGCGTCTAGGTTCATGGAATTGGCCACCGCGGTCGGCAGATATTACACCGGTTGACGGCGCTATTAAAAAATGAGTGTATAAACTTCCAGTTGGAATAAGAGAAGATTTGGAACGCCGTCTTAGGCAGGCTTTTCAACAACTTGATCCAAACTAAATTCAAAAGGCAATAGTTTCCAATGTTATGAAGTCAATCCGTGGATATCTTAGAACAAATTGAGGTCTTTTCAGGCATAATGTATTTCATTAAAAACAATTTAAAACCGGTGATTGTTAAATTTTGGTTGGTATATGTGTATTTCCTTATTTACATTTAAAAACACGAATAATGGAATATTGAGCTTATTTATGTCAAAGACACATATGTTTACAAAAAACGACGTCACCAATGCCAGATCAAATGTGATAACTTTAATTCGCTTAAATTGCAATATTTTGGTTTTTTGCATATAACTCAAAAACCTGCTAAAATAGATATACCATAGTTTGGTACTTTTGGATGGCAAATTAATTGCTTATTTACGTGGCAATATTAAATTTAAAATTTCCAAGTGACATGGATTTTTATATCTTGCCAATTGCGCCAAATCTTATGAACCCCTGTACGCGATAAGTTCATTCTAATACCATATTATGATAAAGCAATTTAATAGGGAACGGTAACCAAAAATTCAAATGTTTAGCTGTACGGGTACGAGAAAAATTGTTATTGTTGTTTGTTGCCAAATTTCTTAAAAAGTATTTTACATACTGTATTGTTATATAAAACAGTTCCAGAATGTTTCGCAGACTCCAAAAATCAAATAATATACAGAGTGTGTCATTTAAAACACAAAAGTTATTTTAATAATTTATTATATTATATTTATTAATTATTATTATTATGTTTCCAGTATATCTGGCAACACCGCATGTCCAAAAATATTTTATATATGTAGCTCATATTCGCTTACATAAGTAACCAACATTTAATTTTTTTACCATAAGTCATTCTCCATACACGTCTAATTAGACACTCACTTTATTGCCTCCAGAATTTGATACTCTAATACAAAAACTTCCACGAGCTTATTTTTGTATACTGTCTCTTTTAAAGCCCCCTTCAAAAAGAGGTCCGGTGGGTTTAAATCCGATATTCTTGCTGACCTGACTGACCACAAAATGGTGCCATTTTGCCAATCCATTGTCTAAAATTCACTGATATTCGCATAAAACTGTTTCAGTTTCTCTCTGCTCTAAAGAAGCCACCAAGATGATTGGCGAAACGTCAACAAGTTCGATTCATCAAAAACCGACGCAGCAATAACCAGCAATTTCATAAAAAAACATGAGAAACACTTTCAGAATTAAGTCACAAAGCTATGAGATTTAATTAAGGCGTTAATATTGCTTCGGAATTTGTTAAAAGTCGTCAATAAATTCGGAATGGATATATCGTTGGATTCGTCTTTTAAAAGGGCTATCAGAAAATGCAAAAATATACAGGGTGTTTCATTTACAAAAATGGAAGAAGAAATATCGCAACACGCATATTTATATATATTTTTGGATTCGTCTTTTAAAGGGGCATTTAAAAATTTAGTACAATATGGGGTGTTCGATATAGAAAAATGTAACTTTATTTGACCAGTTTGTATGTAATTGACCGAAAATCAAAATAATACAAAATAATTAAAAAACAATTACTTAAAACATCTTTTAAATCGGACACTCTGTACATATAAGATGAGAAAACGGATCAGATACTTGAAACTAGCTGCCGACACCATGGAGCTTGAAGAAAATATCCCCACAAAATAACGGGCTCCACATACGAACCGAGTCAGATAGCTTAGGTATAAAAATTGGATTTTAAAATAGGACACTTGTCCAGCGGAAGGCCTATAAGACAGCTGTACCCAATATCCGAAAACTCCTAATAAAGACATTATATGTCGGTTCCTAGGTGGTGAGTTATAATTTTTTCCGTTTCCACCGTTGGTTCGAGTCTTTGGAGTGTAACAAGAGTAACGATATTGGAATACAAGACTTACCTAAGCAGATTTTGATGTGCCACGCACAACGCTTTCAAGCTCTTAATAACGGCCCTACCTCTATCCAGTACATGCTCATCACCACCGACATGTTTATTAAAATTTCTGAATTGGTTTTGCAGTACTTTTAACTGACTCCTGAGAAATATCAACGTGCTGTTACTAAACACTTGTAGCGATATAATAAAAATCGTCCATACGCTAATGGATACCACTTGGTGCATGAGTGCCCACACATGGTGCCTGTTTTTGTCGTACGGGTACCACAGTTGTAAGGGTAGAGGTTTGTTCAAAGTTTGGTTACTGTTAGTGTTATGCTTGTGAAATTGAAGACTATTGATGATTCCTGAAATGCCCAGCTATTGACTAGAAAAGGTCGTAGGTCCCATATCACATACCAAATCCAGAAAAAGCCGTTCCAGTGAACATCGTGGAAACGTAAAAGAATTTGCTCAACGTGTGGCAGAAATTGACGTGTTTCGTATAAATTTCCATAGTGGCTGAATGGTGTTGGTCATAGATACAACGTTCATATGACAGTGCTTGAGGTAGTATCTCTCTTGAAATGTTAGGATAGGAAAGGACCTTGGCAAACAGTAGTATGCAGTAAGTCAATTTCGATATGCTATCAATAGTTGAAATAAAAGTAAAAACATATACCTAGCTCAAATTGTCAAGCTTGCACTATGAAAATCATTACCTTTATCAGGATCTGTCCTTAAAACATTGGGTATATCCACAGCCATCGATACCGTCAGAGACATGCAAATAACCTTGAGTACTAACGAATATATTACATAAATGTACTCGAAAATATTTGGAAAATGCGGCGTACCAAGTCGCCACATGCCTGTCAGTTTCAAAGCGAATATCGCATAGTGGAAAAGTTGCTTCTGAGTTTCCATTTCCAACACTAGAGTCATTACAACATTTCCGCCTTATTTAAAGATGGTGCATCCGGACATTCGGTGCTATTGCCGGCTTTAACGTATGCGATAAAAAATGAAACTTCCCCTTTCAGGAATTCAGAGGCGTAGCGTCACAGCTTTAGACTTCATAATTTGTTCGGTAGAATATAGTGCGTGTAGAAATTCATCAATTTAATTAAACTGATATCTGATAACATACTCTTTGATAAAAATTCCTTATATTATACTAATTACTTTTACCTTTGATTGGATCCTGTTGGTTGTCGTAGGTCAATTGCAACGCTACTGGCCCGTAATATGTTTCTTTAAACACTTACACGTATGCATCCCTTATTATAAAAATAATTTCGCCTTTCAATTTTCCGCAAGCCATCCGCAATCTGTAATTTTCAAACCCGCTACCGCATTCATAAATATTTCACTCTGTTTGTGCACACCGATGGAATATTTCTTTTATATTCCTTTCTTTCAGTTTCGCCTAGCTTGTGGTTTGTTAAATTATTAATACAGAGCTTTAAATTATATTTTTAAATATAATATAATTATTATATAAGATAATTATCTGCTTATATTACGTTGGTGGTGAAGTACCTCAGGGTTCCATGTTAGGACTAGTAGTGTTTTCTCTCTATGCGGCAATGTATGTTTCCAGAAGAGTTTAACAAATTTTTAGTTGCACATTGCCCCATATAAATTTTGAAAAAAGTGTAGCTTTGTTGTTATATAAGGAGAATGGGGTCAAATAATCCGTGCCGTGATTTAGTGAAAATTTTCTATCGGGGTACCAAACACTGATCCGGTTAATCATTTATATTAACGCGTCTATTAAATATAATAACTTGGTAAAGTCTGTTCATAGATATAAGATAGTGACTGATACGAATTAAGGAAATACCCGGGAAAGCTGTAGGAATGAAATATGGCCGAACAGGTCCGTACTTTGCTTAGAATTTAATTATTTGGGGTTTTGTTAGGAAAGATACTAAACAATATTTATTTATTTATTTATGAATGTATTTATATTTAAATCTAAAATAAAATAACAAATTATTTTTATTACTTACTTAAATTACTTAAAATTATTCACAAAATATATCAGTATCACTATCGCTATCATCGCCTGTTCTAATTATTATTTGTTGTATATTATTTGCAATATGGATATACGATTGTTCTGCTTTTTCTATATGTCTAAGAGAATTTGAATTTGAGAATTTGAAAGGTGGAAGCCTTAAAATCGTATGCCCTAGATTGTTTGCATAATTATCACAGAGGTAGTCCTTTTGTAGGTTCAAGCTTTGTAGAACCTCAATTAATTGCTTTTTGGTATAATTTTCGTGAAAATGAATGTCGTTATTATACATGTAGTTTTCGATTGAACTGAGGTGGCTTTTACTTGATGAAAATCCATTTATCAACATAAATAAGAACTAAAAGTTCAGATTTTCACGAAATTATATATTATGACATGACAATTGTTTCCACACTTTCTCAGACATTTGATAAGTTTGTTTTTAAACCAACTTTCAAATAAATCGGCGGTGGTGTCTTCATTGTAATCCAGAGAAGAATCTCTAATATTTTTCGCAGACAGAGAAAGTCAGTTTGGAATCCAACCATATTTAGAGCCAGCATGCAAAATAGTTATTCTTTTACCTTTTTTTGATGACGCGTTTGTTTTACACTCATCAGTTGAATCAACCCAACCCTTTTTCGGGGTATCATAAGTGTCCAACCAGGTTTCATCGAAGTAAATAATTGGCCTATGTTGTTCTTTGTAAATCCTAATTTTTTCTATATATTCCAGTCGCCATTTCCGAATTCTAGAAGATTCCATTAAAACTTGCCTTTTGTCAATTTTTTTAAATCTAAAACCCATGTGTTGACACTTTCATAAGGTAGTTCTGCCACATTTAACACCGGTTTCATCTTTTTCAAGCCTGAGGGTCAAATAAACATTGTTTATAACTTCCTTAGTCTCAATAGAATAGTGTTTTTGGGCGGGAGCATCTCCTGAGATACACTAGACTCGCACATGTTTTGCATAATTCGCACACGATTCAACACACGCTGTATTACACACGAAATAAGAATGATTACTAGTAAACTTAAAATAAGTAGTATACCAAACCAAAGAATATTAAACACAGGTAGGTATATTTAAATTATTTTCTATTACGGACCACAATTTTATCTGAATTTAAATTCCGAAACTTTAGGTAATAATCTTGTTGCATTGTATGTTAATGACAACCCTTGGATATTCCCATTCAAAAGCAATTGGTCACTTTCTTATATCTATGAACAGACCATACCTGCAAGGAGGATGGAGTTTGAGGTGCACGAGTAAAAAGTAGATATGGATTCGGTATGTCAGTCTTCCAAGCAAATGCAATTTTTTGTATGAAAAAAATTTGCGAATTTTATGCATTAATAAAACCACTGCTTGTTCCTGTTACTGTTAAATTATTAAATTTTATGGAATTATTGGAATTTGGAATCTGATGCGTGCAATTATGTTTAAATTTCACTTAAATTAATTATTAATTATATGGTCCGGTTTTTTACAAATTTCTCATATTAAATATGTACAGCCATTTGCAATTCAAAGAAATGGAAGGAATTTCTTTCGAATTAACATTGCAAAATAGAAGTTTTATCAGGTAAGTTTAATAGCCCCTGATCCATTGAACTATATTGAATATTTTATTTGGAATTTAAAAGTTGTTTATTATTATTAAAGCAGCAATCCGTTCAAGCAGATCTGCGTAATTCTGCTATATAATTCTATATATTAGATATATTTAGAAATGGTAAATATGAAAGGGTGTTTTTTCGAAGCTGTTATTCTACTATTGACAGGGTTATTCTCGCTATGTTTCTCCATTTTTTTCGTTGATCCAGCTTCAATTTTAAAAGTATTTTAAAATAGTACACCAAATAAGCAGCTATTTAAAAATTGTCGTCTTCCTTCCTTCCCTCCTTCGTTCTAGACATATACAGTGTGTCCCACTTAAGAATTGCATACCCTTTTAAAATCTTTGTTTATGGTTCAACTTTGATAGTTTTTGTTGGGCAGATCTCTCAAAAATGCACTAGAACCTTACTTTGATTATTTCTTTAACCTAAAGTCAAGGCCAAGTGGGCCTATTTAACAAAACAGGGAGAAGGAATTTCTTTAAGGATAAAGTATCAAAGAATTCTTATTTAAGTATACCAAAATCCTGATTGTATCTACACCTATAACTAATTTCCATGAAGCTCGAATACGGAGTACTCAAAATACCGCAGGCGCTTCTCTTAAGTATTATTTCTGTAGAATGTTTGTTTATGGCTCAAATTTGATAATTATTTTTTTGTTTAGATATTACTAAAAGGCGCTGAAAATGATTTTTGCATATAGCATCGACTAAAGTCATGGACTGGCACAATTTTTTGAAGCTGAAAATCGAGAAGTACTCTTAGGGACTTTTTCTAATTGAAAATGACAGCAGATTCGGAACGACCTAAAAGCAACTAGGCCAAAGCTTTTAACGTTTTTAAAAATAAATATTTACGCTGTAAATAGCGAATTACACAATTTTGAAAAATAATGATAAAAAACACTTTAAATATCTTTTAAGAAATATTTATTTTTTAATATCATCTTAAAACAATACTATTCTTTAAAAAATACTATAAAACTATACTATTTCTACGACCGTTAGTTTTTGGGTTAATTTTTGTAAAACAACACGTATATATTCACTGACATGACCGTCAGAATTGACAAACGTCAAAATTCAAACCGTGAGGTAAAATCTCCGAAAACATCCGATTGCTCCCAAACCCGTGCGGTAAAATCCCGGAAATGTCCGAAATGGCTCGGATTCGTGGGAAACGAAATTGACGTGGTAAAGTGACGATTCCCGCACGCTAGATCGGTGGGTAATTAGGTATTTTACAGACGGGAGTAGAAGAAAGATATTTTTCTACTCCCCTAGCTAGCGTGCGGAATGCGTCACTTTACCACGTCAGCTTCGTTTCCCATGGATCCGAGCCACTTCGGACATTTCCGAGATTATACCGCACGGATTTGGGAACGATCGGATGTTTTCGGAGATATTTCCCACGCTTTGAATTTTGACGTTTGTCAGTTCTGACGGTAATGTCAGTAAATGTGTCCATGTTGTTTTGCTGACAGTCATGTCAGTGAATGTATACGTGTTGTTTTACAAAAATTAACCCAAAAACTAACGGTCGTAGAAAAAGTATAGTATGCAACACGTTCGGTAAACTTTTTAACTCACTCGTTTATTAAAAATTCGCTCCGCTCATGTCAAATAAACTCGTGAGTCAAATGCCGTTTACCGTACTTGTTGCATAATATACTATTAAGTCTAGTAAAATATTTAAATCTTGTTCGACGTTTCCTCTAATTGTTCTGAATTTTTGCTTAAGTTTCTTTTTTCATTCGTTTCATTAAGCCTTTCTTCTTCGGATTAACCCACTTTACAAAGCTTCATAAATAATAATTGTTGAACTGAGGTGGCTTTTACTTGATGAAAATCCATTTATCAAAATAAATAAGAACTAGAAGTTCAGATTATCATGATAAATACACGGTGTTGTCGAAACAATTGTCATGTCAAAATATATAATTTCGTAAAAATCTGAACTTTTAGTTCTTATTTATTTTGATAATAATTGTATGCGATTAAAGTTGCGCAAATGTCACTTTAAACTTTTAAATTTGCAAAAATGATTGTTATAATGTCACATGAACAAAGTTATTTTTAAAATTAAGATATCTACAACATGATTAAAAAAATATTTTTTTATTTTTTCTGTTTATCATATTTGTGATCCTTCGGTCTCATAATATTTTATTAATAACTACATTAGGCAATTTAGATATTCTATTAGAGTTATTATTACAGTTCTATTATTAGTCATTGTTCGATGCACTTGGGTCAGACACATGAAACACCGCATTTCTTTAAGCACTTTATTAACAACAGTCAAGATGAATTCAGCCCAACCCACCCCCAGCCAAGCTCGCTAGCAGAGTAGAATCAGCTGCCAATGTTAGTTGGCTAATCTTAGTTTTAGCTCGAAATCCATTTTCATCGGCGGTGTAAATTGTCTCGTACTTTTTACCATTGTCGCCGGTGTAATAATACTTGCCACGTACCCTTAAAACTTGTTGACTTCCCACGGGCGTGATAATACCCTCTTCTTCACGAAAATTACCGTAATCGGTATAGTAACTAGAAAAGGAAACGTAATTTTGGCAACGATGCTTCAAAATCGTGCGTACTCACCTAAAATAGTAACTGTTTGGGGTGCGCCTGTCTGTGGCCAGCGCAATTTTGCTCCCCCTCTGGGGATGCAATACACATACTTGAACACAAAAGATCGTAACGATGACTAGGTAACACCGCGCACGCATCTCGATTGCGAATACTTGTTTATAATAATGAAATACATCAGATTTTCATTTTCTCGTATTAAATACCTGATGCTTCGGGGAATATCATGCAAAGGTTGCCTCATTACTACCAATGCGAGTCATCAAATTAAAGGTCACAGATTAATAGATACATACGGGCATCGTTGGTTCATTCTGTTTTTTCTTTCTTAAACTTCGGAAAAAGCAATAATTTATAGTAATTACGCTCCGGTTTCCCACTTAATTGTAATTTGGAATTTCTTCACTTTAAGGGATTTTGTTATTCGCTTGGAGAGGTGGGATTGATGATCGAACGAGAAAGTTTTATAAGGAAAGTTTATTACACCCGAAATTCATTAGCATGCATATGCATATCGTTTTTTATAGACTGTTTAATATATTTTAATAAGAACAGTTTTTTAAAACAAAACAATTACTTCATTTATACTAACTCAATCATTCAAAGCTGTCAGTTCAAGTATCTTTGATTTTACTCAAAATCAAACACGTTTTTTTATAATAATGGCAATAATTTTGCATAAAGACAAATATTTTGACAATTTGTATTGGAATTGTCAAATAAAAAAAGTTTACAATAACAAGTACACTAAATGTACAGAGATACTATAAAAAGGTTATGTGAAAAAAAACAGTGTATAAAAATTTTGGAAGTAGATACTGTTTTAATCTTATTTGAAAAAATGTCAAAGAGTTACATTTTATTTTTTCATCGGGAATGCGATTAAAGACTTGCAGTGATCTAGACGATATTTTATATTTGGCAAAAATATATGAATTTTGTTAGGCGGTCTGGTTTTAAAAGACTGAGCTACTGGACAATTATGTCTTCAAAATAAGACAAGAACATGTCTTCTGAGGATGGTGGTCTTAAAATTGTTGTCTTATCCGGATTTACTGTTATACCAGTGATTGACGTTGCTCAACACATCGTTGCATTTATCTTACAATAAAAGTTCGCACTCATCTGAAATGACAATGAAAGTGGGCATATAGCATGAAAGTTGAATTTGTAAAAATGGTTTCTACATTATTGATATAGAGTGTAAATAGGATAGGACCTGAAACCGATCCCTGTGGAATACCTATATCAATCTCAACTACAGAGATTATTATAATCTGACAACAGAGATTATCTTTGTCAGTAAAAACACCGACAAACTGCTTGCGCTCCTGCAACAATGCAGTCACAACGCTTTATTGCGATCACAAAAGATCCCTCTCTGACTCAGGTTTTTTATTACATTTCCGCAAATTTAGCTTTCTGCGGAACATTTTGGTTAGTTAGATGGACACTAAAGTCGATTATACTGATAAAAACTAATCGTTGGACTTTTTTAATAGTTTGTCACTATACATTGGAGATACTAACGCTTTCCGGCTATGGAATACCAAATACAACCTACATGTTTCCTGAATTTTTTTCTATCTTTAGGAAAAATGTTACTAGAAGAAAACATTTTAAACATACGCAATACACCAAGCGTCTAATTAAACCTTTGCTAGATTTGACTATTACTGACAGGTGCTGGTTGTGTGTAAAAACAAGAGGCAAAAAATTTACAAACAATACAACACATCGGTCTGTGAAGGGTATTAGATGAAACAAATAATCTGTAATTTTTGACAAAATTGGTACATTTGTTATAAACTACTTAATTACATTCCCATCGAGAACAATATCTAGAGTTATAAAAATAGCCGGCATTCTTTGAAGTGTTACAATTAGTACTTTAACTTTTTTTAAAAGATGACTCTTGTTAAGCTGTAAAAAGAAACGTCTACTTATTCTCCACTTTATTGTAATGGAGGTATTATAATTATTATCGTCTCCATATGAACAGCTTTTTCAACAATAAAGGACTAACTAACCAAAACTAACCTCATGAATGGCATAGAACCATTTAAAATGCAGTACAGCTACCTCGATCATAATAATTCCATACATTGCTCCGATTTATATCTTCAGGCAGTTGGCCTGTCGATGGGCCATAAACAACATTATCCGTATATTCCTTACGGTCTCCGGATAACTAGATATGTTAATTCCGCCATTATGTGACGCAGAATTATTAGAAATAAAACACGTACGCGTATGATCTGCGCCCCACACAATGGCATTGTAAGCATCGTGCTCTATTGCAATCTTTACGATCCGCGGTTGATTTAAGATCGCTAGATGTCACTTTGGTCGTTCGTAGGCAGCAAGTTCTATTAAAATATCTTTGAGTAAGGGCCGGAGTTGCGTCGCCATATTGGAGGTCAAATTGTGATCCGTTCCTAGTATAAAGGTTTACCTTATTCGGACGTTATGGTTTTTGATAGATATATGTTGTTATTTTAGTAGAAAGAAACGTTTATATACGCATTAAGAAATAAAAACTTTCACATCTCGTTGTCCTTCGGCAGTTGCCAAACGCAAATTACATCGAGTGTCAATTAACCCAATTTTTAGTTTTTTGTTTGTTGTATTTCTCATTTAAGGAAATTTAATACAGTTTATCAGATATATATATATATTTTCACTAATAGTTTTGCAATATACTCGCGCTATTTTAGGCTTCTAGAAGGCTGTTGTCGAACTATATCTCTTGTTGAGTATGACTCTTCTTTCTCTTTGTGTCTGTAGAAGTTCCTATAATCGGGAGTGAGTCACAATTTGGTGTTCATGAAATTGTATTGTTTTTTTTGACAAAGAAGAGGTATTAATATTAATATTATTATTATTATTGGTATTATATGTCCTAAACGTCTTAGCTTTTGAGATTCAAAGTTTCCAGGAAAAAATATGTTTTATATATTATCTACAAAATGATTAGAGTATTTTTTGTGAAATTTAGTAAATGCATTTTGTCAAATCAAGAGACATTTTCTGATGCACGACACATTCTTTGATTTCTATCAGTGACATTCGTCTGTTATTTCTATAACGTGTTTTAGAAAAAAAAATGCCTTTGCCTTTTTCTTATCAGAATTTGATTAAATTAACGAAAAGTAATGATACTAATACTATTTTTTTCTACTTGGAACGCTTGAGGACGTCATGATCATTTATGTGTCGGAAATGGTTTAGATATATCTTTAGAATCTGTGTATAGGCCGCGGAGGGTTTAAACATTGGGCAGCAAGATCTCCTGATCCCGATTGCTTAGATTTTTTTATGGACATACCTTAATATTTAAAGTGCATGTTAACACTTAAGATGTAAGAGTACGCCTAGTATGAGTGCTCAAAAAATTAATAAATGTAATCCAATTATATCAAGTTTCTTAAGAATTATGTATTATCTGTGTAGTACTTGATTAAAAAAGGAAAGTGCGAAAGGTGGAGAGATAACTAGACTATAAAATATCAGTTGGGTACTAATCGCGCCACTGCTAGAAATCAATTTATTTCTATTTATAGTATTCCTTTTCTACGACAATAATATAAACACCTAAAAAAATGCACGAATCACATAGATCTTCTGTGGGGTGCTTCAGGTGCTGAAATATTTATAAATTTTTTACAGAAAACTTACTATACAATCAATTCAAAATTCGTTAATTCAAACAAAAAAAATTTTTTTTGTGTATTGAAAATATTGAGGCGACACCCACACTCAATTTTTCGCTGTATTTCGTACGGTACCTGAAATAAAATAACGTATCAGGCTAAACGGGTGATGAACGAATAATTACGAAAGATCAAGAATGGCGGCAATTAAGGTTTTGATTTTTTGGCACTTGTGTATGTTAACAAAATGGAGACAACGTATCGAATTTGTCTTCAACACAAAGGCGCGAGGGCACAGTGAGGAATTCTTATCCGAGCGCAACAATAGAAATCAAATAATCCTATTAAATACATTATAATAAATTTGAATAATCCATATGGATAGCAATTTTTACATTGATTTACACTGAGCGGTATTAGCAGTACTTTGGCCTTTGTAACCCGTCGAATTTCCTTCGAAAATATTTCATACTTGAAAATGTGGTCTATTTGTAATTGCGAATTAGATTAAATTGGTTCACGAATATTTGGTTTAATGAAATTCATTTCACTTCACAAAAAAGCTGCAAGAAGACAACCGAAATTGGTCGTAAAAATGATAATTCCAACACACGGTAATTTGACGGTAAAACGTTAGTTAGCATTAGTCTGAATTAGTAAACAGAACTAGAAACATTACCCAATCCGAAGCATTTTGATGAATCTTAGGGCAGGCAATATTCCAACTCTAAACAAGAAGATAAAAGTGAAATGTCTATTATTTATTTCTCACAATATTTATGTTTATTTAATGCCTTCTTAGAATGCAATTTTTTAATTATTATTAATTACTGTTGTTAATCAAAATTACCAAACCAAAAGTTGAATCAGTCTAAATTATAACTACTACCAGTGGAACTACTTTTGTTTTTGGACGGACGGAAAAGGTTATTCAAATAAACTGTGATTGATTCACAATAGTATATTATGCAAGAAGTGCGGTAAACAGAATTGGACTCACGAGTTTATTTGACACGAGCGGAGCGAGGGTTTAATGAACGACTAAAAAATGACTTAAAAAGTTTATCGAACGTGTTGCATACTATACTTTTTCTACGACCGTTTAGTTTTCGCAAAACAACAAGAATACATTCACTGACATGACCGTCAGAATTGACAGACGTCAAAATTCAGGGATGGAGTTTAGGTTCATCCTGTACCATTATAGATTTACAGGCAATTGTTCTAAATGACTCTTCAGTAAAAATTATGTTTGATGATAAGGAATGAAGAAAATTATAAAAAGACAAATATCTAAAAAGTGAACTAATAGTATATTATGCAAAAGGCACTTGACTCATGAGTTTATTTGATACGAGCGGAGCGAGTGTTTAATAAACGAGTGACTTAAAAGGTTTACCGAACGTATTGCATACTATACTTTTTCTACGACCGTTAGTTTTTGGGTTAATTTTTGTAAAACAACACGTATATATTCACTGACATGACCGTCAGAATTG